ATTATTTTGAGATTATTTATGAAATTAGAGTTAATTAGTTAATACAGGATCCACAAAAGATCAGATTATTTCGGGATGATGGTTAAAGATAATTCAGAGGGGATGAGATTATTTCTAAAATAATTATGTGGCAAATATTAAAAGGTAAAAATCGCAAAAATATCAGATTATGTTATAAGCATGAATGTGGATGCTCTTACTGATATAGGGTAGTGTTCATATTAATTAATTAATTTATGAAGTTTATGATTCCGTTCTTCGGATTCATAATTTCACAACATGTATTAATTTCAACCGTTAAATCCTAAATAAAAAAATTAAAACGTTTAGAACTTAATTTTGATTCTTATGATAATTATTATTTACTATTGGATTCTTAGATAAATGGTGAGAGTGAACTTGATGAATTTATCTTTGGACAAATTTTAGATCTAATTGTCGAAATCAATAATTGATACGTTAATGAATAAAAAAAAAATACTAGTAGATCATACGGAGTACTAACAAATGGAGCATATGAGTAACATTTATAGTAATGCCACATGTCAAACACATTTTTAAAATGATACGTTCTCAGACTATACGAAGTCGCAGTCAAACAAATTGGATCTCAAAACTTTAAACATGCAAACGAAGCAAACAAGAAAGTAAAAGACACATGATATGTTGACGCAGTTCGAAAGAAAAACTTCCTAATCTGCGGGGTTTCAACAGGGGAAACTCGGTTCCAAACAGATCCACTTGCTCAGAAAAGTTTTACAATCAAGATGGTTGCAAAGCAATTAAACTATGACCAGTAACTTCATGCAATGAACAGACAATAACTCATAACGAATAAACGCAAGAGAAAGTTCAGAGTTAACCAATATTGAATTCAGTAGTGAATTCGAATGCAGAAGAAGACTTCCGGATGAATCAACAAGCAACTTCACCAGACAGGCTTCCTCCTTTCTCCCTATCGTCACAAGAATATGGCCTCAAACTGCAGCGGATCACCGATCTCAACACACTCTCTCAGTTTCTCTCTCTAGGGTTTTTACGAAGTATGCAGCGGAACAGTGCAGGATAGAGGGTTAAAGGATATATTTATATCCTTCTAACTCAAGCGGATAAGCCACCCAAATATTGGGCAGAAGAGAAGGCCCGATACAAGATGTTAAACTGGACTGGCCCAACACAAAACCCAAAAGACCCTTACAAGAGATAAACCAAAAAATAGAGTCACATCAATTGCTTTTCCATCCTACCTTAATTGTACGTAAAAGAAAGAACATATTAGAGAATTAGGATTAATAATATCCCAACAATTTGCCCTCCTAAGACTCATTCTCATTCAAGTATCTCCATCTGGAGCATCATCATAGCTAGTTTGCAGGATTTGTGAGACATGAATTTCCTCATTCATCATCAACCCGGTTTGGAACCTTATGATCAAGGTACCTCAAAGACTTTGAAGAAGCTCCTGCAAAAAAGGAATTTATGAGTAGGGACAATTTTAGTTCCAAAATCTGCAGGATTTACATCTCCTGAAATCTTTTCCACGTTAATATTACCCTTGGCAATTTCATTTCTAATGTAATGAAACCTTACATCTATATGTTTGGTTTTCTCATGATACAAAGGATCTTTGCAAAGGTAAATAGCACTTTGACTGTCAGAAAAAACAATAGGGACAAGGCTCTTTCCTAGGATTTCACCCAAAATACCTTTAAGCCATTTGGCTTCTTTAATGGCTTCAGTGGCAACAACATATTCAGTCTCAGTAGAGGACAAAGTCACAACAGATTGCAATTGGGATTTCCAAGAAATACAATTTCCAGCCCAGGTAAAGAACCAAGAAGTGGTAGACTTTCTGGTATCTTTACAACCAGCATAATCAGAATCAACAAATCCTTTAAGGTCTAAAGATGAGCTAGAACTATACTTCAGGCCTAAGGTTTTAGTTCCAGAAAGATACCTAAGAGTATATTTCATAGCATTCCAATGTCTTTCCCTAGGGTCAAACATGAATCTGCTAAGTACATGCACTCACAGCAAAGGCAAGGTCTGGTCTGGTACAAAGCATAGCATACATTAAAGAACCAGAAGCAACATCATAAGGGATTTTATCCATTTTCATAGATTCCTCCAAAGAAATAGGATAAGGATCCCTATGAAGATCTAAATGCCCTGTTAAAGGTATTGGAGTGCTTTTAGAACCATGCATGTTAAACCTATCCAAAATTTTTGACACATAACTAACTGCTTTGAGATAAGAACATGCACTTTTCAGGTCTATTTCTGTTTATGTCTATCCCTAAAATCCTTTTAGCGGGTCCTATGTCTTTCATGTCAAAATGTGTTTTTAGATCATCTTTCACACTAACAACCAACATTTTGCATAAACCAATTATGAGGATGTCATCAACATATAATAGAATGTGCACATCATTATCAGTACCAACATGCTTGAAATACAAACAAGTATCATACTACTCAGAAAAGTTTTACAATCAAGATGGTTGCAAAGCAATTAAACTATGACCAGTAACTTCACGCAATCAACAGACAATAACTCATAATGAATAAACGCAAGAGAAAGTTCAGAGTTGACCAATATTGAATTCACTAGTGAATTCGAATGCAGAAGAAGACTTCCGGATGAACCAGCAGGCAACTTCACCAGACAGGCTTCCTCCTTTCTCCCTATCGTCACAAGAATATGGCCTCAAATTGCAGTGGATCACAGATGTAACAACCCGACCCCGTAGGCCCCGAGGTAGTTGCTCCAGACCTCTCCACACTGTCCTCACAAACCGCCACTAGCCTTTTCCGCGTACTTTGTCCTCACTCGTGCGCGCCCTGAGAAACTTCCCAGGGGGTCACCCATCCCAAGACTACTCCCGTGCAAGCACGCTTAACTTTGGAGTTCTTGGCTAATGAGCTCCCTTAAAAGGAGATGCATCTTGTTTGTATGAGTAGTACTATTAATCCATTTAAATTAAATCTCAAGTGTTACAATCACCCCCACTTAGGAACGCAACGTTCTCGTTGCGCCCGTAAATCAATCTCTATCATATCTCAGAATCTTTTCCCCTGCTAAGTGCCCGCCCGATATCCAACGGATCACACACTGTCACAGGTTTGCTCTGATACCATTTGTAACACCCCGGCCCTGTAGGCCCTGAGGTAGTTACTCCAGACCTCTCCAGACTGTCCTCACAAACCGCCACTAGCCTTTTCCGTGCACTTTGTCCTCACTCGTGCGCGCCCTGAGAAACTTCCCAAGGGGTCACCCATCCCAAGACTACTCCCGTGCAAGGACGCTTAACTTTGGAGTTCTTGGCTAATGAGCTCCCTTAAAAGGAGATGCATCGTGTTTGTATGAGTAGTACTATTAATCCATTTAAATTAAATCTCAAGTGTTACAACAGATCTCAACAGACTCTCTCAGTTTCTCTCTCTGGGATTTTTAGGATGTATGCAGCGGAATAGTGCAAGATAGAGGGTAAAAGGATATATTTATATCCTTCTAACTCAAGCCGATAAGCCACCCAAATATTGGGCAGAAGAGAAGGCCCAATACAAGAGGTTAAACTGGACAGGCCCAACACAACAACTCAAAAGACCCTTACCAGAGATAAACCAAAAAATAGAGTCACATCTGATTGCTTTGCCATCCTACCTTAATCGTAAAAGAAAGAACATATTACAGAATTAGGATTTATAATATCCCAACATGATAACTATTCAACTTACATGTTTATATCTCAATCTTAATTTTAGTGATGGGGTATATTGTCATATATCGCATGAGTATCAACTCTCACAAATGGAGAAGTTTCCAAAAACACTAAGTCATTATTTCGTCGAGGTGGTCCAACATTCAACTCTCAAACTAACGAGATAAGGTCAAAACTGCTTCCGGGGCTGAGGTCGACTCTCACCGAGGTCAGCGTCAAACCTTGCATCATAATCGGGCTTGAAGTCAACTAGCGTATCTGGAGGTCAAATAGAACAAAGGAATCCCTTACACCTGAAAAACATTAAATCGAGGTTGCTCCCTTCATGATAAGCATAATGTACTCAAGCTCAATCTCATCTGATGAGCTCGAGGTCTCATCAGTCAGTTGTGGACTTGGACATTTCAGTGGTCAAACATAGCACGTAACTACGGCCACGTCACCAACGTGATAGCTATTCAAGGGTCACGTCACCCTGGCGGTTACTACACGGAATATTCTAGATAGCACATGTACGGCGTGCACATGCGTTCTGGCACACAAAGGACAAATCTGTTACACACGGTACCAATCAGTCAGCTATCCAAAATATCTCTCCGATCAATTTAATTTACACGTGTTGCCACACGATTATACAAGTACATTTCTTCTTGTTAACCAACTAATACACGTGTCTTGACCACAGTAGAATGACATTTTTTTACTTGTTGGCCAACTCCATAGTATCAATATCACCTTCTAATTTGTGGAAATGGATTCCAATCCGAAATTCTTAGCGCAGACTTGTTGTTACTCTGCCCAATTTTTTAGTCAATCTTACTTAGCACTTTCAGTCTCTCTTTACTCGGCTTTTCGGTCACCCCTAGGTCAGAATTTCATCACTTAGTGAGACGGAGTAATATTAATTACTACATAAAATTGTCTCCATGTTTATAAGCACAAGAAAATAGAGATTACAAAAAATTGTCAAATAGGCTCGTATTATGTTCAAAAGGTCAATTAGATCTGGTTCTCGATTAAATCCTTCAAGTTTTACCACACGAGGCCGAACCTCTAGATCTGGTTCTCGATTAAATGTTCAAAATTTGCAGTCTCTTATTCACCGAATACCGTTGATGAAAATAAAGTACTCTCTCAAGTCTAAAATCGGATCGCTTTACTTAACCGCCAAGTTTCACGTGTCACCGTTAGATCTACGCCAGGTGCGAGCTGGAAAGTTGTTTCCGCGTCACCGATCGCGGATATATAGCTGCATTCCCATTTCACCATTTTCATTTTCCGGAGATCATCAACCCAATCCCATTTCCCCTTTCCATAAACCTAGGCACCGAATTCTCTCATCTTCTGGAATTTATCGTTTCATAATTGTTCCGAAACCATACGAGAATGGGAGCTTCACAGAGTCGCGAAGGTCTCGAACTGTCTGACGAATCGGACTACGATGAAGAGGAGGGCAGTGGAAGCGAAGATCAGTACGGAGACGCTAACGATGAGAGAACACCGAACAAGACACCTGATCAGGCCAGTCGCGAAACCCTAGACGACGTTGGTGCGAAGCTGGAAGCGTTGAAGCTGAAATACTCTTCAGCCGAAAGGCCTAGCGGGAGTCGCAAAAACGCCGTCAAGCTATACTTGCACGTTAATGGTAACACGCCGAAGTGGGTGATCAGCGAAAAATTCGCCACCTATGAATTTGTAAAAAGATTCAAAACTGGGGGCGAGGATGAGGACGAGTCGGGATCAAGAGATGAGGGATTTTGGGCTTTGAAGGTGGGGAAGAAGATCTCTGCTAGAGTTTCCACTGATTTGCAGTTGAAGATGTTTGGGGAGCAACGGAGGGTTGATTTCATCGATAATGCAGTCTGGGCGTTGAAATTCCCCACAGATGAGGAGTACAGGGGTTTCCTCACCAAGTTTCAGGACTGTTTGTTCGAGAATGTCTATGGGTTGAGAGCAACCGATGATAACAAAATCAAAGTTTATGGAAAAGACTTTATGGGGTGGTTGAAGCCAGAGGAAGCGGATGATATGATCTGGGATGACCCTGATGTAGGAGGGAAAAGCCCAGCAATGCCTGTGAGAGATAGTAATGAGTTGCTGAAGGAATTCGAGGAAGCTTCTTCCGGCGGAGGTATACAGAGTCTATCCCTGGGCGCTCTGGACAATAGCTTCCTAGTGGATTCTTCAGGAATTCAAGTGGTAAAGAACTTCAGCCATGGAATACATGGCAAAGGTGTATATGTGAGATTTGAAGATAGAGGCAGTAGGTGGGATAGTCCTGAAAAGCCAAAGAAGGCACTTTTGATGCGTGGTGAGACTAATATGATGCTAATGAGTCCTTTAAAAGAAGGTAGCCCTCATTCCACTGGCCTCAATCAATTAGACATTGAGACTGGTAAAATTGTTAGCGAATGGAAGTTTGAAAAGGATGGCACTGAGATAACAATGAGGGATATAACAAATGATACAAAAGGGTCCCAATTGGATCCTTCAGAATCAACCTTTTTGGGATTGGATGATCGTAGGCTTTGTCAATGGGATATGCGTGACCGGAAGGGAATGGTTCAGACATTAGCCAATACGAGCTCGCCTGTATTGAATTGGTCACAAGGACACCAATTCTCAAAAGGGACGAATTTCCAATGTTTTGCAACAACTGGCGATGGATCTATTGTTGTTGGGTCATTGGATGGGAAAATCCGTTTGTATTCTAAGACTTCAATGAGACAAGCTAAGACTGCTTTTCCTGGACTTGGTTCTCCTATCACTAATGTGGATGTTACTTATGATGGCAAGTGGATTTTGGGGACGACCGATACGTATCTGATCCTCATATGTACAATGTTCACGGATAAGGATGGGAAAACAAAAACTGGATTTTCTGGTCGGATGGGGAATAAGATTCCAGCTCCAAGATTGTTGAAGCTAACCCCTGTTGATGCGCATATGGCTGGACATGAAAACAAGTTCCATGGTGGTCATTTCTCTTGGGTAAGAAGATTACACATCTTTTTCACTTTATGTTCTTCTTTGGATGGTTGCTGTTATTGTTGCGTAATTTTAGTGTTAAAATATGAATTTTGGTTGTTGATAGCATTTTTTCACCATTTGAATTGTTTTTTTGTTCCCATCGTTTTCCCTTATTTTACCATTCAACGCAAAATATGAATTTCATTGGACAACATGGATAAAGAAAATTAAAAACAGCTTTTACTAAATTTGTAATGACTGTTGGCAGGTAAGATGAGATAAGTTGTGAGTTGTGATGGATTTGAAAATTTTATTCAAACTTTCTTAGTATGTTTGCCATATCGATAAGTGGCAAAATATACATGGGCGGAGGGAGTATTATTTAGCTTTGTTACAACAATTGATGATGCTCGTGAAACTTTAAAAAAGGCCTGTCGGTTAGCAGTTAGTCTGTTATAGTGCCAAAATATCTTAAGGTAACTTGACTAACAGCAAACAAATGCATGTGGTTTTGAAGATGAAAAGTTTTGGCAAACAATTTTAAATTAGTAATTTGTCTCGCTTACTTTTAGTTGGGCGCTTTCGTTTTTAGAATGTTACGGTTAATTATACGGAGTATCATTCATTTTGGTGATTAATTTTTCAGGTAACTGAGAGTGGGAAGCAAGAGCGGCACTTGGTGGCAACTGTGGGGAAGTTTAGTGTGATTTGGAATTTCCAGCAGGTGAAAGACACAGGGCATGAATGCTATAAGAATCAGCAAGGACTCAAGAGCTGCTATTGCTACAAGATAGTTCTCAAGGAAGAATCCATTGTTGAGAGTCGATTCATGCATGAGAAGTTTGCCATTAGTGACTCCCCTGAAGCTCCACTGGTTGTCGCCACCCCCATGAAGGTCACTTCCTTCAGCATGTCCAGCAAGAGGCGCTGAAAATAACAAACTTTTTAGTTTGGATTGTATACAAGTAGGATTGTTTGTTCATCGCGTGTAAACTTTTTACTTATTCTATATGCCTGAAATCCTGATAGAATCGGTGTTTTGTGCCCACTTCACCACTAAATATGTAACTGGGTTGTCTCTCCTCTCAGGGACTATTTCTTAATTTTTGCCAGGTCTTGTGTCAATTTAAAGTACTAATGTACAATCTACTTACTACGTCCATCCTATACACTAAAAAAAGATGTATTCCAATACAAAGGTTTGATATGGTCTACGGAAACTAGTTTATATTACCTCCGTCCCATTGGACTTTGCACTCATAAAGTTAGGTGAGAAATAAGAATAGTAAAAATTGTGTGGTTGAAGCTTGTGCAGAGGAATGAGTAGAACTACAAAATAGTTACTTTAATGGGAAAGTGGCAAAATTTTTTGGGATAACCAAAAAAGGAAAGATGGCTAAGTCCAATGGGACGGAGGGAGTATAATTTACCAAAAAGTATTAAAGAAAGTGTTGAGTAAGCCATATGGTACATTTTTTTAATATAGTAAGCCATATAGTACATAGTTTGACACTTGTATCTCACCAAATTTGAAATATTGTACACTATATTTGTACTGGGGTAATAATACTACGTATAATATTGTACTTGGGAATACACACACATGTGTGTGTTAGTGACATGTGTACTTGAGTAGCTAAGGCAAAAAGGTAGCCAAGTTGATACCTTAAAATTGGAGAAGGAACAAATCAATTGCCTGTAATCTAATACAAGGAAGAATTTCTCTATTGATGAAAATCGTGTCAAAATTCAAAAGAGCGCAATTTGAAAGGATGAGATTCATATCATGATCTATGCTCATAAAGCATCTCGAGCAGCAATTCTGCAAGTTATCGCATCTGACAATGATGATATCTCAAGCTCCAACTTTGATATCTTGTAGTGCTGTTTAAAGAAACAGAATTGGGGTATACAACATACTGATAAAACATATATAGGTGAAGATTGGAGATTTTCCGAATCCATGCTCAAAGCAACACAAACCTTTTGAATCTGGGCGTGGTTTGCTCTTTGCTCTAGTTCCTTCAGCTCAGCCTTTGTACCTTTGATCAGGTTCTGTATGGCTGCAATCTGAATAGAGAAATTACTTGGCTCTAGAGAGCCACTGATAAAGAGTAAAAATTCTCTTCTTTGTTCTTATTACAACAACATCCAAGCCTTGGTCCTAAAAGATCTTGGTGTCTGCTAACATAGATATCGGAGTCAAAAGTAAAAGAAAGATAAAAAGATAAGGTATGATAAAAAAGATAACAAAAAAGATAAGATAAAATAGAGATAAGATATACATAAAAATGATAAGATAAAAAGGATGAAAAGAATATATATAATAAAAGGATAAAAACATAAGAAAGATAAAGAAGATCAAGGGAAAAATAGATGATAAGAGATCAATCCGCCACACTAATACCCACCCTCCACTTTACTCTCTCAAAGCCATGCTCTAATCCAAATCAAGAAAAAGCATATCAGCTCTGACTCCTCTAATCCACGTGTGTTTGAGTCTTCTTCTCTCTCCTCCCCTGCCTCTTCTTCACACCTCTCAACTCGTCTAAAAGGTGCATCACTAGGTCTTCTTTTTTCTTATTAAAAAAACCTCCCATCCATACGATATAGTTCAAGTTGTGTCTGATGTAATACTCATAATAGTAAAAATGAAATTTTAAATCTGAGAGAGGAGTTTCATATAATAATATCTAAGGAGCTGCACACTTGGATGGTTGGATTGATATTTATTGATTAGGTTTACTCTGAAGTGGTATGGTTTGATATTTTTTGTATATTCACTATATTGTTATTATCCAAGTTTGGTATGGCATGTTATGTCTGGTCAGATCTAATCTAATATTGAACTGAAATAAGTCCATGTGAAGATGAATCTCCACATGGTCTCCCCAAGGAAAGGTTAACTTTAACATGACCATTGCACAAGATATTGTGTTCTTACCTCATCAGTTGAAGCACCAAAGCGAGCTGCAAGGACATAACTTGAGTTGTCTGAGATGCCACATCTTTTTAAGGATTCTGATATCTAATGGAGACCAGAAATATTGATAAGAACAGAAAAAATAAAATCAACGGGGTGAACCGTTGCCCAGATAATCAACCATAAATAAATACCGTTGCCTAGAGTCAAAAGGCTAAACCAACTTTTATTCCCAGATAATAAGAATGAACCCTGGCGAGGGGTATAAATAGCCTTCTACAAGAAACGCTAATCAAGCCCAAATTAATTAAACCCTAATTGAGCCCAAATTAACTTAACTAACTACTCTACTAATAATAAGCCCAAACTAAAACATAACATTAACTTAATAATAATAATTAACTATAAAGACAGCCCTAACCCGGCCCACGGAAGTGGGCCCAAGCCCGGTCCCGCCCCATGCTCTTCCCGCTCCATATCAATCCATCCCTCTTCAAATTAACCTTGTCCTCAAGGTTGAAAACTCGCGGATCGGGAACTGAAATTTCCAGACATAGAATAGACGGGAAAATATCCTTCTTCTCTTTCCTGAACCCTTTCCTGGCCGGTTATTTCGCAGAATTCATGCTGCTTGAGGTCTAACTCTTCATCCTCATCAGCTATCAATACCCGCAGCTGCTTAAAGGGACAATCATGCCTAGGCGTAAATGGTTTCTTGCACCTAAAGCATAATCCTTTCGCCCTCAATTCTGCAAACTGTTTCGGCGGAAGTCGAGTGAATTGAGAGTGTGTCGTAGGCTGCCCGGACAGCCCTGATTTCGTCCCCGGAGGCTGTCCACAATCTTTCGCAAAGCTGCCTTCCGAACCCTGTAAGCTGCCACCAATGGCAGTCAACGGGGAACTTGTGTTTGCCAGTAAAAGGCTGCTAGAACGTACCCCTGAAGAATGATAATTCAGATTGCCACCTTCTCCTCTTTGGATGCACAGATTATGCTCCACTTCGCGAGCTAATTCCATAGCCATCTCCAGGTTGTTCGGTCGAAGTAATCGCAGCGAGCTTCGGATTGTTTCCTTAAGCCCACTCATGTAATAGCCCAAATAATGATCCTCGGACAGCCCAGGAACCTGACTGGCCAACTGCACAAAAAGGTTATTATATTCTTCTATGGTCCCCAACTGTTTGCCCCCGGACAGCCGTTCAAATCAGTTTCCCTTGAACCGCGAATCAAAACGGGCCACCAGTGCATCCGTGAATTCCTCCCAAGACAGGCCCGGTTTTCGTGCCTTCAGCCAGGTCAACCAATACAGGACATCCCCTTCCATGGCTACCGTAGCGGCTGCCACTTTCCTCTCATGTAAGGTTTGATTAATTTCGAACTGTTGTTCAGCCCTAGCCATCCACCCGATTGGGTCTATTCCGTCAAACGCAGGTAACAAGGTTGGAGCAGAGTTGCGCAACACTCTCTCCACGTTCGTCGATATCAAGGCAGATCTGACTCCTATCGCGGCGGTGTCCGGCGATTTCAGCGGCACCAAGGCCTGAGTCGGCGCGGCCAGAGAGGCGGCGATCTCCGCCAGCTTTGCACTGTGGTCTTCGAGCGTCTAGTTCATCTGGTTCTGCTCGAGTGCCATCCGGGTTTGCTCAGCCCCCAGTCAGGCCACTTCCTCTCCCATTCGGTTCTGCTCGTTTTCCATCTCTGTCAAGCGTTCATTCTGAGTTCTGGTCATCTTGGCGGGACGGGATCCGGCAGGTCGGACCAATTGATATGTAACAGAAAAATAAAAATCGACGGGGTGATTCGTTGCCTAGATAATCAACGATAAATAAATACCGTTGCCCAGAGCCAAAAGGCTAAACCAACTTTTATTCCCAGATAATAAGAATGAACCCTGGCGAGAGGGTATAAATAGCTTTCTACAAGAAACCCTAATCAAGCCCAGATTAATTAAACTCTAATTAAGCCCAAATTAACTTAACTAATTACTCTACTAATAATAGGCCCAAACTAAAACATAACATTAACTTAATAATAATAATTAACTATAAAGATAGCCCTAACCCGGCCCACGGAAGTGGGCCCAAGCCCGGTCCCGCCCCATGCTCTTCCCGCTCCATATCAAATATCCAAAACAATGAATCCAGACAAATAAACTGTTCCATAAAAAAGTTCAAAAACTTTCTTACATGCTTAGATCCAGAGTAGTTATACACAAGTTCAGAATGCAGAGTTCGTGTGGTAAGAGATTCCCGTGACTTCGACACAAGTGTTTTATGTGCAGCTGCCAAAAGGGGAAATACGTCTGGAATCTAATGATGTTGTTTAGAGTGATCAGAGCCCAGGAAGTAGAGATTAAAAAATACAGTACAAAAAGGTTAATAACGAGTGGGGGGGATGTGCTCACAAGTGATGCATTTAGTAGTGCTACTTCTGGCTCTAATGTTCCAGCTTGCATAGATTCCAGTAGTTCTCTAGAAAAAACACAGTGTGTAAAATTAAATTGAAACGTTTGGCATACTTTTTACAGTTGATACCTGATTTAGCTCCTGTTCAGTGTTCACTATTAGTCAGTGTGGTTCTCACCTATTTATTGGACACAACTTGGTCATTGACTATGAAACAACACAATTTGAGCCTCACACATACTTGACTCAATTGATAATACACTTGTGTCCATTCACCAACTTTAGACCCAACTCGGACTTGATTTGGCCAATAGCTTCACAAAGTGGACCCTATTTAGTCATTAGCAAATGAAAATACCCTTCTTTAGTAGAACAAAATATGCATGGGAATAAATTGAGTCTCGATTGTATAGTTGACAGCCATATTGAGTGATGAAACACAAACTTAGGAGATAAGGGTCAATTGAGTACATCAAGTTGTGTGAGGTGGAGTAATGAGTACAATATATTGCATTTGATATTTTTAAGTACACAAACATGGCTTTTTAGTATTAATTGAGTACACTCGTTAGACTGACCTATGTTGCACGGAAACGTGAAAGTCATGAGGAAACGGGAAACGGGAAACGTCAAATGTTGCCCAAAAAAGACTTGTTTGGAGAGTTTCCAAGAGTTTCCGTAGAGTTTCCGAAACGGAAACGTACTCCTTCCCAAGAGTTTCCGTGCTACATAGAGACTGACTTGTTAATGAGGTTGAGTTGGTTAACATAATGCTAATAAGTCGGCTTTCTGAAGGTCGACGCTAGCCCCCGATTCCTTGGTCAATGCACCCCCGCTAGTCATGCCCCCCGCAGGCCGCAGGTCGACCTCTTAAAGTCGACGCCAGGACCTTGGTCTACTTCTTTTTTTAGGTCGACTTCCTAAAGGTCGACTCCAGAACCTTGGTCAACTTCCGCTTGGTCAGCTTCCCCTTCTTACTCAACATTCTTTTAGCCAACTCAACCATAGTAACGTGTTAAAGTAACAAGTGTACTCACATAATACTAAAAACCCAGGTTTATGTACTTAGGAATGTCAGATGCAATAAATTGGCTTTCATCACTCACAATATGGCTGTCAACTATGAACTATACAATATAGACTCAATTTATTCCCATGCATAGTAATAGTCTATAGTTGAGGGACCAAATTGGCTATGAACTCTACTTTTTAATTGAGAACGACAATAAAAATATCAATGTGAATACCAGGTTTTTGTGAATATGAAAAAAAATGTTTTTTCTTGACTGTGCTTTAGGATAAACAACACTAGATTCTTTACCAGCTAATACAACTATGTATGGCTGTAGACTTGTAGGCATCCCTTGAATCATATGTTCCAGGTGATATTTTACAGAAACCAGTAAATTTTGGCTACATCCCATCATATTTTGGGGCATAATCTGAAAGCCATATGGTTTTCAGATCCACAAATCTAAAAACGAAAAAAAAATGGTTACTTTTTGGGCTTTTTAAAATTTAGAAACCACTACTAATCTGACAGGAAAACTAGCATGAACTTGTTATTTACATCCCAAAGGTTCTAACATCAAATATTGGTTGAGCTAACCATTCTGTCATCGTTTGTTTATTGAACTGAGTTAAAGATAATGATACACATATATGGAATATAAATGAAGGAAGTAAATGATACACAGGAACCCCATTAGAGCCGCATTCTAACTGATAAACGGGCTTTAACAATGCAATGAAGAAAAAACGCAGTCTTTCACCAACTTTCAAATCCTCAACATGGCTAATTGCGTAGTTCCGCAAAACGTTAGAATATCAGATAACAACTTTGCTTCAAGTTGGAACATAAAGGATTGAAATTTAGCTTAAGGAGCAGTTGATTTGTATCAGCTAATTCAGATATTATCCAGGAGAAAGAAAGAGCCATACTTAGAATTGGAAACGTCGGAGAAGAGTATAATAGAAAGAGTGTTTCCACCAACTGCAAATGATTCCATCGCCGGCTGGATTTTCTTTAGGGGACGGAAAGAATAGCAAATGCCTTGTAGAGAATTAATTTTAGTCGGAGTTAGGGTTTACGGCCGTTAACGGCTGGATTCACGGTCAAAATGACAACATTGCACACGTGACATGAAACATACTAACGTAACAAATTAAATAATTAATTAATAGAAAGTCTATCACTTTCAGTGTAATCATATGTTATTACACGGTACTTTTTAAAGTGTTAAAACACAATTTCAAAATCTAAATCATCTATATAGTGCATTTGATATTGTGAATAAATATAACTAAAAGTTTATTATGGCACGAAAAGAATGCGAGATATTTTTTAATTACTTCTTTTGTGTTTTTATCTCTCTTGTCGTGCCAAAATCGTTGATACATTTGCATTGGAGGTCCTCTTACGTCATTTCTATAGCTAAATTCTCAATTTTCTTGTTCGGTGGTTCTCCCTAACTTCTAGTACATGTCATACAAAGTATTTTTGAAATATGTATTTTATATTTGTATTGTCACTCCTACTTTTTAATTTTTACGTCTCTTTTACGTGGAACAAAAGATTATCGAATGTGAATACGTGCAAGTAAAACACATAACTTGTTTGTAGAAAGAATTTGTGTAGTTACCTCAAGAATTTGACTGCAGCAAAACATCCCGGTTTATGACAAATGAGTAACCCGTGTAGTCCCATAATCGGCTGGGTTTTTATAAATTGTTTGACATGGTTAATTGAGTTAAGTCTAAATGAAATCAATGACTAACTTTTACGGGTATACGAGTAGGACTTGGAGCTCTTGACAAATAAAATATCATCTCACTAGATGTTGAAGGTAAAATTAATAATAAACTAGCATAAAGTGTATGCATACAAATTGATGAAATATATGAGTTTGATACCATAGTCTTGCGATTCAATGATTGATGATTAGATTGGGCGAGTCAACCCTAATTCCAGCGATACAAGGGGCCGGTAGAGCATCAACCTACTACAATGCCTACGCATGGGATTAACCGATGAACCGTTGAGAACCCGAAACCCGGCCTGCACGGTGTGTGAACATAGAACTAATCGATGAGCTATCGAGAACCAATGCGCTCTAAACTTAGGATTATTTGGAATACTAAGAACCTAAATTAAGCTCTCCAAAAATGTTATACATTGGGTTTGAAAGCTGGGTGACGCACACGTAGCTTTAGCGATGAATAGCTTATTATACTATTATGTGTGTGATTGCTAATTTATTATTATGGCTTAATTTAAGAGTATCTATACTAGCATTTGCAACACGTGTGAACTTAAAAGAGTATTATTAAATATTCATTAATAATCACTATTTTTACCATATCATTATTACGAGAATTATTGTAAACGTAGATATTGTTACATGGATAAACTATTGAGGAAATATTCGTAATAAAGAATGTATTAGATATATTTATAAACTATTTTCTAGATTTCATATAGACATTGTGTTTTCATATTGTCCATCTAATTATAAATGCTTCTAAAAAATTGTGATAAAGTTTGATATTTTGTCACGTTGTCTGTTGTCTATCGTTATAATCATTATTGTTATTGTTATGTTATCTAATAAAAACAAGGCATATGGCTTAAAAGAACAAGATATAGGGGTTTTCCCCTCAATATTACTAATTTAAAGTTGATTTCTGAAAATGTGGCCGCTTTTAGATTTAGACAAAAATGTGACTAAAATAAAGTGACAATCACATATTCATGTCACTGCTCCATTTTCATGTCACTGTCGGATGTCACTGCCGACATCTTCATGTCACTATCGAATGTCACCGCGACCATGTCACTGTTGCCGTCGGCCACCGCCAGTCATCGTCACAGTGACACCACCGTCAGTGACACAACCCCAGTGACACGCGATTCCGACCACAGTGGCACCCCACAATTAATCCACCACCGTCTCCTTGTCGGATGCCTCCCCCTCTAGCCCCCCCCCCCCCCTCCCCATCCCATTTTGTCATCCACAAACCCTGTACGAGTCCAGCCACCGTCGACCACCATCTCCGGCCACCACCTCCGCTGACTCGTTGTCGCCACTGCCAACATTATCCACCGTCTCTGACTACCACCTTTGGCCATCACCCGTCGACTACCACCGCCGGCAACCTCAACCAATGACCACTATTGCCAATGAAAATCGCCATCATGGAGGCGCCACCGTTCTGGCGATGGCCTCCTCCTCCACCCTCTGGTGAATGCGACCGCCCACAAAGATGCTTCCCTGCCCTCACCAATCGAACCAAGTAGTGTAAATACATCTGATTCGAAAATGGTACAATATCCCTAGCCGCTATATCTGGAATCTCTCCGCAGTTTCGCAGCAGCGGCAGAACTCGAGTAAACGTATCAACCAACGCCAATGGAGGCTCTGTCTTCACTGGAGCAGAGAATGAGAGCAGAGTAGAGGAGAAGAGAAGGATGGACCTGCACGAAGGGATAGAGATGGCAGACGAGGTGAGAAGCTTCTAAAGCTGCGAGGGGGCCGAGATGAGTGAAGGGACGCAGATAATGGTCATATTTTCACCAACAAAACATGAAAAGTAATACTTCCTCCATTCTATAAAAGTTGCAACATTGGAATTTCTGCACTATTCACACACCTTACTTTGACTACAATTTTATAATAATATATATAATAAAAATATTATGTATAAAATATTAATAAATTTGTACTAATGTAAATTTCTAATATATTAACTTTTTTTAATGTTTACTAATACGTAAATAAATATAATTACAGTCAAAGTTGCGCGTTGACAAACGTGAAGTCAAACTGTTGTAACTTTTATGTAACGGAGGATACTATTAATGTCAATATATTGTCCACATTCATACTACGAGCCCGTTTGGTAGCACGAAAATGGGCTGTTTTGGCTGATTCTGCTGAAATTTATGAAGTTCTGGCTGAAGTGGCTGCATTGGCTGATTCTGTTGATACAAGAAAAAAATATTTTTAAAATATATTTTATTAATAAAATAAAGAAAAAATTATATGTAAAAATAGCTAAAATGATCATCTATAGTAACTTCAGCCAATACAGCCAGAAAAGTAACTTCAACCTTACTTTTTCGGTTTATTACACAATTCAGCGCGCGAAAGCAAAGTTTACGTGTTTGGTAAAATAGTTGGCTGATAAGCTTGATCAGCCGAAAATGAGGGTTGCCAAACGGCCTCTACTTATTTTATTTCCTAAAGGATATTGACCGGATTCATTTAATTGTGCTGTTGACCTTGTCCGGGTCGACTCCGTTCTTGCAGCACCCTCCAATCCTTCATTCCTGCTTCAGTTCAGCTCCATTCTACCCAGCACACCATATACAATATCCCTAATCCTCAACAAACAACTGGAACACCAGTTTCCCATTTCTGCATGATAGTAATACTTCGCATTTAAGATTTTGCTTCAAAATGCTGCCTGTAAACCCTAGCTCCATTCTCGCCCCTTTCAACCCTCCCTTTTCAGTATTATCGACTGCCAAGACGCTTCATTTCTCCAAAGCTAGCCGTTTTCATTCCGCCGCCGATCCGCCTTCCGGGCATTCTTTCCCGCGGTCGCGGTTTAACTTCGCCGCAGCCGCAGATGCGGCTGCTTCTCCCGGGTTCGGTCGAATTGGGCTGAACCCTGATGATACCGCTGCTCCCCCAGTAGAGAAGAGGGCTTCTGATAATGGGAATACCACGAAGGCTAATGCGAAGGAGAGATGGTCACGAGACCGGGAAAGTTATTTGACCGATGACGACGACGCTCTTCCTCTTCCAATGACTTACCCAAAGTCATCCCCCGTATCTCCAGAGGAAATCGATCGTCGTCTTCGTTGCGACCCTAAAGCTGAGGTCTTTTCTATTTTCCAATCCAGATTCTATTATGTATTGTTGAGTTTATACACTTATTCGGAAGGCATATACTAATTCGAGCTTTGTGGTTGCTTAGTCGTCCGGGTCTAGATATTGCTAAAATATTATGCCAGGCCCAGGGCAAGGTCATCCACTTGTGAATGTGTGATTGCAATACATCATGATACTTTTTCCATCTAATTGGGATCTTTGAATTTCCACGTGAAATAAAACTTGTGTAGTTGTGTTATGTGATTATTTTTAATTCTAAAGATTTATTTTGAGTTTTTATGTTCCTTGTAACCAGGAGTGCAAAGATGTGGTTTATGAATGGACAGGAAAGTGTAGGAGCTGTCAAGGCACAGGGTTTGTCAGTTACTATACGAAAAGAGGAAAGGAAACTGTCTGCAAATGCATACCTTGCATGGGAATTGGTATTATTTAGTACTCCTTACCACATATGATTCAATTGGATGTTTTTCTTTTCTTGTTTGAATATGATCCATCTCATGCTGTATGGATGCTTAGTGTAAAAGTTAAAACATCCTCATTCTCTGATGTTATGTAGACTAGTTCTCATGTAGTAAACCGTATTTGGAATAGTGATATTTCTTTTCTGAAAAAACTGTTTAAAGATTTGTTTGTAAATGGGAACCAAAGAATCATCCAGATTTCAGAGTGCTCATGATCAAGGACTGAAGGTCGAAGGAATACATATATTCACTCTATTATAAAGTACGTTCTTGGTGAAATCCCTTTTCTTGCAAAAGTTTCATGAGGCAATTGTTTCCTAACTGAGTACAACTGTCTTTAGTAGTGTGCTTTATATTATGCCCGAATAAGAGAATTTAGAGGATTGTGTGCAATTAGAGCCAATCCATTTTCTCTAATCGCATTAGATCTATTTGGTACTAGTCTATGAGTAATATTGATAGTTGTACGCCACTCTGTGATCGGTGGAACTATAGGGTATCATTGAGGGCATGGGTGAGACATTAGTATATGGAAACACAGAAATCAATTTACCAGTTTCCTCCATTGTTGCTAATAGCTGCTCCCATTTTAGTCTCTTGTAATGGAAAGTATGCACATTTCTTCACATTATGCCAATCTTGTGTATCCAAGTCTTTTAGACCATGCTTGTTTGATCCATTATCCCATCAGGTTGTGTTTAGCTTTCACACTGAACTGAATTTTATTGCCTTGTCAAACAGTGAAACCTCGGTTTACATGCTTTACCTTTATCATCACAGGCTACGTGCATAAGATAACATCACGGAAGGATATTGATGTCATGGAGGATTTGGATAACTGATAGGCATGCTGATTCTTGACGGCAGTATATGCTCGTACGTTTTCTTATTTTGTTACCCATGCATTGATGATTAACCCAATTCTTATTCAAGAATATGTTCTTTGCTTAGTATATATTACTTCCTCTGTCTCAATTCTTCATCCCAGAAAGGAGTTTGGTTTCAGAAGTCATTTTTCATTTTAAATTAAAATTTGTGTAAAATCAAGCCGCAAACGGTTTTAGTCAATTACCCCAAACAATTTCTGAAATAATTTTTAGGAGGATAAAAGCGTGTAGTAAAAGTTGTACCGTTTACTCAAACTGTCAAACATGACTCTTTTTTTGGGAGTCAGGGAGTAGTTCTATTTGTCGAACAACCTCATTATTCTCTTTTAGTCTTGAATACTTATATTTACTACCCCCGCTGTAATTGCATTTTTTCGTTAAAGGCATCTTCTTTACTTGCAACATCAGGAAGTCTTGAATGTCCCTGTTTAAGGTGGCTGAATGTTTGATATGAATGCAGTTTGAACATTGTTATGGTTCTCCAAACAAAAACACCCATAGCAATGTCATGCTATCTAGATATCCAGTATTATCTCTCAAATTGCAAGTTATCAAAGAGGAAGGTGTCAGTGCCTTCCATGAGTAGGCAAAGTTCCATCTCTTGCCCTGCCTACATGCCCAAAACAGATGAGATGAAAAAAGTGTTTGACCGATTTGACATCGACAGAGACGGAAAGATCTCACCGCATGATTACAAGGCCGTGCTAAGATGTATGGGAAGCAGTGGTTTGTGGGTCATGAGGGAAGTTAGCATGATTTTTGAGGTTGCAGATTTGAACGGCGATGGGTACATAGATTTTGAGGAGTTTGTAGAAATGCAGAGAGATGGTGGAATCAGAAGCGTGGATTTGCAGTCTGCGTTCCGAGTGTTTGACAGGGACGGTGATGGGAAGATTTGTGCCGAAGATCTGTTCGAGGTGCTGCGGAGGCTCGGAGAAGGGTGCAGTCTGCTCGATTGCCAGAAAATGGTGAGAGCTGTCGATGGTAATGGGGATGGTGTGGTCGACATTGATGAGTTCATCACCATGATGACTAGCTCCATGAGGCCCATGACTATAACACGATGAAACCACATTTAGCCAGACAAATGTTAGCGGGTTTCTTATTACTACGTATAATTTATGATTAGGTTAACACTGTTTCTAAAATTCAATGCATGCAATGATGTGATCATTTAATTATGTATTTCCATTTGAAATAATGTTAATAAGAACAAGCGTTGTGTTTGTCCAACTCCAACTTATACTCGCATGACGGAAATGTTTTTTTACAGCATTTTGTATGTCATGTGTACCGCTCACGGTCAAGTGACCTATGTTTCCGTCTCTTATTCTGTATCCTACATACTACCTCCATGACTCCATCTTTTAAAATTTTGCCAAAATTGACCGACACGGAGAATAATAAAGTAAAAATTGTGTGGGTAAGGTTTCTGCAGAGGAGAGAGGAAATAACATAAACCATAAAATAATTGATTAAAAGGGAGAGTGACAAAGTTTTTTGGGACGTTCCAAAAAGGAAAGATGTCAATGTTTTAAGGGAATGAGGGAGTATAAAATTTGATCATATTTGTATTTGATTTTTGCTTTGCATTAGAGCTTTTAATTAAAATTCTGAATATATAAGTCTTAATTATGAATACTTATTTAATTTTTAACGGTAAATGTTTAACTTTAATTTTAGTCCAATGATTCACACAAAGAGCATGTTTGGTAACTTACCGTGCTGAATTGTGGATAATAAGAAAAAATAAGGGTGAGTTATTTTTCTGGTTGTATTGAATAAAGTTATTGTGAAAGATCATTTTAGTTGCTTTTATACAATTTTTCATTCTTTTATTAATACAATACTTGTATATTTTAATTATTTCCATCATGATTTAGCAGAATCAATTAAATCAATCACTTCAATCGAAACATCATAAAATTCAATATAATAGGTCAATACAGCCGACTTGGGTATTATCAAATGAGCTCAAAATGAGCACTGAGAGACCACATAGTCTAATGTGCTTAATTGAGCGATAAAACAAGGATCAACAATATTAATGTACTCCCGCCGTCTTTAAATAAGCTATTAGTTTTCCTTTTATGGATTTTCCTAAATAAAGTTTCATTTCTCTATTTGTTAAATAAATTTAGGGAAAAGGGACAAATAAGCCCTCAAATTAATCGAAAAATGCAAATCACCCCTTCTATAGGAGGTTATGTCTGGCCGTCGCCATTTGGAACGGTTACTAGTGAAATTTTTTGATGAACTTTTTTGAGCATCTTCTTCATTAATTCTAGTTTACCCATACCGAAGTTCATCTAAAAATGCAATCAGGAAGACAATCAAATAAATATTTAAAGATAACTGTGCAGTTAAACAACACAGTATATTTCAGAAAATCATTTGACTGTCTTCCCGGTTGAATTTTTAACTGCAATTTGGTGTGAGTGAACTAGACGTAATTAAGAAGATGTTCAAAAAAATTCATCAAAAAATTCTACCGGGAACCTCCCCAAATAGCGACGGCTGGACAAAGCCTCCTATAAAAGGGGTGATTTGCACTTTTTCGGTTAGTTCGAGGGCTTATTTGCATCTTTCCCCATAAATTTATATTAACTTACTCTACTACCCTTAAATAATAATGACAACACAATGCGAAATAATATTAAACAATGTCAAAATAGTGTATTCTACAATAAAATTTATCCACGGTAAAAGGACATTTTAGGAAGTCCCAGGGGAAAATATATTCTATTAATATGCGGGCAATTAAAACAGGGACTTTTATATAGGGATTGATGGGGTACTAATGTAGATTATACATTGTATGGATGGATATATTATTATATCTTCACACCATATAGGGCATATGCAACACATATAATAACATTAAGAGATTTTTTTAACTTTCTCAACATATCAGTCAATCCTTTTTTACTCAGTCATTTATGAATTCATATGTTTACAATTTTTTTATTTTGCGATAAATTGTATATTAATAAAAAGTAAAAATAAAGTTACTTTTCTTATCGAAGTTGTTGAACAAGTTTTTTTTTAGTTTTTCTTATACTCATTTTATTCATTTGTTTATTAATAGAATATATTATAAATATAATTAGGGACAACTATCAAATAAGTCATTGTACTTTGATGAAAAAGTCAATGTAATTTATACTTTTAAGTGGTTAAGTGGGTCAATTAAGTCTACCAAGTAGTAAAAAATAGCCAAATTAGCTATTTTACTGGTCATTGACTGATTTCCCCGAGTTAACAGCTTACCTGGAAGTCTATGTGGTATTTTTTACTGTTTCATTCTTTTTTTTTTCAGGTAATATTCCTTTTTCTCTTTCTTATTTCTTCTCTGTTTTTCTTTCTTTTTGTGTTCTTCTATCTATCTAATTTAAGCTACCTGCTGGCTAATGCCTTCAGCATCTCATTGTAGAAGTTATTGAAAAAGAAAGCTAGAGTCTTCACTCCAGTCATGTTGAGCTAGGTTTTAAGTTTTAAGACTTTAATAGTCTAAGACCTTGTTTGGTTCAAAGGAGGGGAGGGAAGGGGAGAGCCAAGGAGGGAAGGGAAGGGGGAGGAAGGATTTTGATAAAAATTTGTGTTTGGTTGGAGAAAATAGGAAGAAAGGTTTGATGAAAATATTTTCGCAATTTACTTTTATTTGATAGCTTACTTAAAAAAATAGATACATGTCTAACTATTGTGAATATTACTCCTATGGGCATGAGTCATAATTTTATTTTATTTTTTACTTTTTTAATTTTATAATTTTTCATTTTTCAGTTTGGAATTTTTAATTCTTTATTTTTTTTTAATTTCTTTTTTATTTTTAATTTTTAAAATTTTAATTTATAATTTTTATTTTTTTTTATTTTTAAAAATTTTAAATTTTTTAATTTTTAAAATTTTTATATTTTTAATTTTTAATTTTTTAATCTTTAAATTTTTAAATTTTTAATTTTTTTAATTTTTTAAAACTTTTTGTTTTTTACCTTTTTATATTATAATGTTTTGTTCATTCACGTAGGAGATAGATAGTTTGTGGTTATCAACTCGTTTCATCCAAAATATTCCGATTGGGGGTTTAGAATGGGAGGAAGTGGAGAATTCTGAAAGCCTTCCATTTTCCTCCCCTTCCCCCTATTTCCCCTTCCCCTATTTCCTTCAACCAAACACACACAAATCCCCCACTTTCCTCTCTTCCCCTCCTAAACCCTCCAACCTCCAACCAAACAGGGACTAAGACTCTAAGGGTATGTTTGAGAGTTTGGAAGGAAGAGAAGGGGAAGGCTTTGGAGGTATGTTGTTGGAGGGGAAAGGGAGGGGAGGGTGAGGAAACTCTTCTTTGTATTTAGGAGTAATAAAATTGGAAGAAAGAGAGTTTTTGAAGGAATTATAATTAAAATCATTTTGAGATATGATGAATTCAAATCATTGAGCTGATATTCATTTTTAATTTAGCTTAAATTATCATCTTGTTAATTATCCTCCAAAACCTTCCAAATTGGGGGAACTTAAAAATTAAGCATTTGAGGGATTTTGAAGGGTTACAAAAGTCCTCCCAAACCATTCCCTCGAATATTTTAAACTCTCAAACATAAAAAGAAGGGTTATAAAACTCCCTAAACCTACCCCTCCCCTCCAAAACTCAACTCCCGATCACACCCTAAGGCCTTGTTAGGTTCAAAGGAGGGGAGGGAAGGAGAGAGTCAAGGAGGGAAGGGGAGGGAATGAGAAGGAAGATTTTGATAAAAATTTGTGTTTGGTTGGAGGAAATAGGAGGAAAGGTTTAATGAAAATATTTTCGCAATTTACCTTTATTTGATAGCTTACTTAAAAAAATAGATACATGTATAACTATTGTTAATATTACTCCTATGGTCATGAGTCATAATTTTTATTTTATTTTTTGATTTTTAACTTTTTAAATTTTATAATTTTTTAGTTTTTAATTTTTTTAAAAAATTTTAAAATTTTTAATTTTTTTAATTTTTCAAAACTTTTTGTTTTTTTACCTTTTTATATTATAACGTTTTGTTCAATTCACATGTTTGTGATTATCAACATGTTTCCTTCGAAATAACCCGATTTGGAGGTTTAGAATGGGAGGAATTGGAGAATTTTTGAAACACACAGAAATCCCTCGCTTCACTCCCCTCCCCTCCGAAATCCTCCAACCAAACAGGGCCTAAGAGTTGCCCACAAGCTCTGAGGCTCTCCAGTAGCATGCCGGACAGATTATTGAAGACCATGTCTAGGTCTAGAAGAGCAGTCCAGAAACCCCCAATTTGCGCAAGAAGCTCTCCCTGGAACTCACTACCCTGTACAGCTGTACTCCTGTAGACACGCATACTTAAAGCTTCCAATGGGGAAAACAGGAAAGACGCCACCCTACTGCATCCGCCGCCGCCGGAGATGAGGTGTTTGAGAAATTGAAAGGAAGAAAGAACAGGAAATGCAGCAACGGTGGTAGGTGTGGAGAAAGAACCCGTCTGAAAGAGAGAATGGAAAAGGAAGAGGAAAGAAAAAACAAACATTAAAAAAGTGCCAGCTAGACATTCATAGACCAAATAACTCTAATTAAACGGATCAGGTAACTGTAACTGGACAGATCTGGTAACTGTAATTGGACAAATCGGGTAACTATAACAGGATCAACGAACGTTAGTCATTATCGGATTTTTGTCACTATTGGGATTTGGTCATTACCGGGTTTTGGTCACTGTCGGACTTTGGTCATTGTCGGGTTTTGGTCACTTTTGGGCTTTGGTCATTATCTGGTTTTGGTCACTATCGATTTTGATCACTGTACTGTTTCTGTAGCATTAGTGGGTGAAATAAGGGGTATAATAGTCTTTTAGCCTATTTTTAGTCTTATTTTTGGATTTTTTAAAAAAGTTCACTTTTTTGTCTAAAGCTCTTATTTTAGTAATTTTTTGACATAACCCCCTTCTCTTTTTGCATATTAATATAACAAATAGTGTTACAAGAATTTTTATATGGTATGTTACTCAGATATATACAACAACTACAACATTCAAGCCTTAATTCCAAAAGAATTTGGGGTAATGTAAATCCTAACCGTCCTCTCCTTAAAGGGTGTTTGATAATGAAGTTAGATACACACTTCTCCTCCATGTTATTAGTTAAATCCATGAGTTATCAATTAATTGGTCAAAATAGTTGATAGTTTGATATTCCTCTCGACTCGTTAAGATGGTTTCATTTTTTATCCGTACTACTAGGATGGTCTCACACCAATTCGCCATCACTAGCATTCATCAAGTCAATTGGAAACAAAATTCAATTCAAAATGATCAGCTATTTTAATGTTGACAAGGACTCGTTTTTTTAGAAATTTATGCTCAACATCAACTTATTGTTCAACTGAATTGATGGAGACGAAGCCTGGATATTGCGGTTCAACAAGTTGCAGAAAAACGTGCTATGAAAGCTATGGGGAAGTTTTTGGATGGTGTCATTGTGTCAAACAGTGTTTGATTTACGTGATAAGAGTATTTGTGTACTTTCATTCAAATATTATATCGCTTTTTTATTTATCAAACATTACATTTTTTACCTTTTAATAAAAAATACTTTTATTTACAAACACTACATACTTTTCTATAAATCACTTTTTCAATAGTCTATTAAATAAATCACTTTGGATAAGCATAATCAAACGTAAACATAGCTTTAATAGCAATCACATAAAATCACGTTGATAATCATATCATCTATTTTTGTACCAATGTTACAGAAAAGGAACTAATATAATACACACCAATCAAAGTATCTTACGTAACCCGATAAACCCCGTATCAACTATGAGTGAACATAGACGATAAAATTTTGGTTTTTCTTTTCGGCACATTTGGATTTTTAGAGTCGATTTGGTGACAATGTTTTCTGGTTTATCATGCTTATCAATCAAGTTTTTCATCGAATACGTAATTTTTTATTTTGTCACTGAATTGTGCTATATTAAGAAAAAATAAGGTTGAAGTTACTTTCCTAATTTTTTTGGTTGAAGGTATTGTAGATGATCATTTTAACTATTTTTTCATATAATATTTTATTTATTTAATTAATAAAATATGATTTAAATATACTTTTTTTCATAAAACAACATAATCATTCAATACGACCTACTCCCTCCGTCCCGATAAGGTTTGCCAAATTGACTTTTCTTAGTCAATTACAATCAACTTTGACTAATGATATTTCTAAATACGAAATTATTTAGAATATGAAAGTTATATCAAAATGTTCATCATTCAAAATATTTTCATAAAAGTATAAAATTTATAAATTATATACAAATATAATAATTAAAATCATCATATAAAGTTGACCATCATTGACCAAGAAAAGTCAATTTGTCAAACCTTTTCGGGAAGGTAGTATTTGGATACTACCAAACAAAGACTTAAATTTTACTGGGGTAATAAAAAAAGTTTTTCCCGCCGCCACTGGCCAAACCCGGGTCAAAATGATTCCCCGTGCTTCCATTTTACCGCCAAAAAGACCTGGAGTTTTCAAATGCAGAGCAAGTAGTAATAGCGTGTGAGAGAAGCGCAACTCGGCAGCTCGTCAAATGGACGATGAAGGCGAGGTACTTTCCGCTTCAGAGCCAAGCGAGTCCAGCGACGAATCCATCATCGAGACCGACAATGAAGGAGAGGACGACGAAGAAGATGACCGTGGAGCTGAGACATCCAATCACCGCTCCAGTTCGAAAGATCTAAAGTCCGAAAATGTGGCCGCTCTAGTCAGGTGCTTTAATTTGTTATCTATGCTAATATCTTTAAGTTTTTAACTAATGTTTTGGACAATCGTATCTTTACTCCTTCCTTTCATCTTAAGTTGTTGAAGTGGAAAGTATTTGATGGTATTAGAGGGCTACGAATTTCCAAACACAGAAATTTAATTTGTTATGTTCACTGCAATATATTAAACCTAAAGGTTGGTTTTTCTGTGGATATTAATGGTTAAAGTTGGTTGTTTGTAATTGCCATCATCATGTCATGTGATTAGGGGATACCTTCAAGTAAGAAGACAATCCATACTTCCACGAGTCTACTCAGTGAGTGATGCGGCTGTCAACATTAGAAAGCCATTTAAACCTCCCAGCTCAAATGGTTATAGCAGTAACAAAGAAGATCTTGCAAGGCGTCTCTGGGCTAGGAAAAAGTTTGTGCCTTGGGGGTCCACTAGGCCCGCTTTGGTTGCAATCACAAACAGAGTAAATTCCCTTGAGCCTGATGATAAAGATGTGGTTGAAGAAGAGGTATGTCTGCCACCACATGTTGAACCATTGGTGTTGTGGCAGTCTGAAGAAATTGGAGAGGAATGCTATTCTTCAAAACCTATCGCAGTGGAACCATTACTTGTTAAGTTCCTTCGGCCTCATCAAAGGTACTGGCACTAATAATATGATATGTTATACCACACTAATTATAAAAATTTACAGGTGTTAGTAGTAGTAGAAATGGCAATGCTTAATGCACCACTGATTTTTGGGGCTGATGGTCTAGTCTGAACGCACTGATTTGTAGCCTTAGATTGCTAAAGCCTCCAAGTTCTAATTTTTACCAATTTGTTTTAGCATTAGAGTTCCAGTGGATTATAATCAAAGATTGAGGAATTTTTTCTTTTTCTTTTTTTGGATGAAAAAGAAAGAAAAAGATATGGGGTGATTATATCCAATTTTTTCTTTTTCTTTACTTGCAGAGAAGGTGTCCAATTCATGTTTGACTGTGTCTCAGGACTTTTGAGCACTTCCAACATTAATGGATGCATTTTAGCTGATGATATGGGGTGATTATTGCCGGGCACCTATTGCAGCTATGGTGGTGTTATATTTGTGTGCAATGATTCTCAATATGCTGTTTGACTTACTAGTGGTCTTTCTGTGCAGTCTAGGGAAGACATTGCAGTCGATCACATTGCTTTACACTCTACTCCGTCAAGGTTTTGATGGAAAAGCTATGGTGAGGAAAGCAATAATTGTGACCCCAACCAGTCTTGTCTCTAATTGGGAGGCTGAAATAAAGAAATGGGTTGGAGAAAGAGTTAACCTTGTTGCTTTGAGTGAAAGTACCCGAGATGATGTTATTTCGGGCATACACAGTTTTACTAGTCCCCGTAGCAATTTACAAGTAATTCTTTTAAATATGCATCTACTGTAAATATGAGATATTTATGGTGAATTTTAGAAGTATTCATTCATGTGGCCCTATTCTAGGTATTAATTGTTTCCTATGAGACATTTCGGATGCATACTTCAAAGTTTAGTAATGATAGTTCATGCGACCTCCTCATATGTGATGAAGCTCACAGATTAAAAAATGATCAGACATTGACTAATCGAGTAAGATACAGTTCTTACATAATATACCGTAATTTCCCTGTTCACCACTAGTCATTTCCATAACCAATATGGGGTCACTGATTTTTTCGTCAGGCATTGGCTTCATTATCATGCAAACGGCGCATTTTATTGTCAGGGACTCCAATGCAAGTGAGTATTTGTCAAATTTATCATTCCCCTTTGCCTGTCAAATTTTGTCATGCCTGACAAAATTTTGTCAAATTTGTCATGTTTTGATTCTTTTGGGATTAAGGCTCGGATGTTGTTTGATTCAGATACACTATTTCTATGTTTTACTTACAGAATGATCTAGAGGAGTTTTATTCAATGGTAAATTTTACTAATCCTGGAGTCTTGGGCGATGCTGCATACTTTCGGCGTTACTATGAGGTCAGCTTTGTAGACCTGCAGTCATTAAAAGTTCTATAACTTACTTTCTATTGATTTATGCTTGTACATTTCCCAACTCGGCAAGGATAAGCAGACCGTTTCATTTTATTGTCATGTGAATACAAAATGGATACCTGATATCCAAATGCTCGCTTTAGATGCCCATTGTTTGCGGTAGAGAACCCTCTGCTACTGAAGAAGAAAAAAGACTAAGTACTGAACGTTCTACAGAGCTAAGTACAAAAGTTAACCAGGCAAGTTTCTTCTGATATTGGATTTCTTGAATGTCTTAAATCTATACATGCGTGGGTAATGGTGATCATCTCTGAAATCCTTGTATAAGGATTTGAGGAGAAAATGTGCTCTTGTTTATTTTAAGAAATAATGCCTAATATTTGACCAAAATAAGAATATTGGAAAAAATGGGACTTCATAACTTTTAGTGACTATGATTATGTTCAAATTTTACATCACAGTTAACATAAAATGCAACTCATAGTAACTTTAGTCACATTTTTGTCCATGAGTTTATTTTAGTAATATATTAAGAAAAACCTCTTATTATGATAAGACTGCTAACAATTGGTATATAACTGGCTCAGTTTATATTGCGGAGGACAAATGCGCTTTTGTCAAATCACTTACCGCCAAAGGTATGGCTTCTCGTCACCTAGGTTGCTGTTATATGCTCATTTGCATCTGTTTCTTTTATGCTGCAGGCACCTGAACTGTCTTAGTTCATGGCAACACGTACTTGCTTAAATATTACTTACCCAGTTACCCAAATTTCTCCTAAACTTTTAGTGTTTTTGATAATTTTATTGTTTCTAATTGTGGATATTTGGCAGTTTCCTTAAAATGCCTGTCTTTGCTTAACCTTTTCTATGTAGCCAACTATGCTGTGACTGTGTGAGAGCACACCACGTTGGTTTCGTATCATTGTATCAAGCTAAAACTCTTCCCACCCCCATGTGTGACGGCCTCATATTTATTTGTCCTTGCAGATAATTGAAGTTGTCTGCTGCAAGTTGACACCTTTGCAAGCAAAACTTTACAGCCATTTTATACATTCTAAAAATGTAAATTTTGACTCATCTTGTTTGCTTATGTGAGGGGGTGTATAATCGCCAAACTTCCTTGTTGTCTTATACATATTGTTTCCAACTTTTATATACAGGTTAAACGAGCAATTACAGAAGAAACAAAACGATCAAAAATCTTAGCTTACATTACTGCCTTAAAGAAGCTCTGCAATCACCCAAAGGTATCACTAGGCTCTATCTTTTCATTAATTGGTAATTGAATACTGTCTGTAGTTGACTATATCTCATTCATTCCACTCATAAGAATGGACTATAGAGAGTCACTTCCCGCTCTATATTTTGAAGCTAATATATGACACGATAAAGAGTGGGAAGCCAGGGACCATGGGATTTGAAGATTGTATCAGCTTATTCCCCCAAGAAATGTTCTCTGGAAGGTGAGCTTAAACATAAAAGTGGTGCTTGACTACCTTTCCACATTAATGGAAGCACCTTTCTTGATAAATCTTAGATCCGGTTCATGGACTGGGGGAGATGGTCTTTGGGTTGAACTATCTGGGAAAATGCACGTGTTAGCTCGGTTATTGGCTCAACTTCGCCACTCAACTGATGATAGAATTGTTCTTGTCTCAAACTACACTCAGGTTTGAAATGTTATTTAATTAAAGATAGTTATATCTTGTTCTTATTCGCATTGGCTAAACATAGCTGCAAGCCTGCAACTCATAAATCTCTTTTTATAAAGTTTCCCCCACATAAATTCAGGTTTCTGGTTTTCTAACTACTATGCTTCCCATGGTGTAAATCTAGTTTGTGCTCATAAACATAATCTAAGAGTATATTTTATGCAATGACTAATATTTTAAGACTTGCGTTATTTAGTTTCAACATCTGGAATACTTTTTTGGACGTGATTTTCACAATGGGTCATCCAGAAGCAGTCTCTCTGTGCTTTAGTACAGGGGTAAGACTGCGTACATCCGACCCCTCCTTACCCCACCGTAGGTGGGAGCCTTTGCGGCACTGAGCTAATGATGATCTGGAATACTTTTTTTATCTCTCTAAACATTGTTATTTGGATAAGCAGACATTGGACCTTTTTGCTCAACTCTGTCGCGAAAGAAGATATCCCTTCGTGAGACTTGATGGAACTACTTCGATTACCAAAAGACAAAAGTTAGTAAATGAGTTTAACGACCCATTAAAGGTAGGTGAATTGTGATTTTAGTAATCACGAGTTCATGCCAATGTACTGCATACTGGAGAAACAATTGTCAATCTTAAAAAATATCTCATTTTATGAATGCCTTGTAGTAAAATAGTTTAATTTAATGTATTAGGATGGATTTGCATTTCTCCTTAGTAGCAAGGCAGGAGGTTGTGGTCTGAATCTGATTGGTGGAAATCGTCTAGTGTTATTTGATCCAGACTGGAATCCTGCAAATGACAAACAGGTAATCCTTTTTTTCTTTTTCGGGTGGAATAGATTGATGGCAAAAAAACTCTAAGATGATAATTCTCAGGCTGCAGCAAGAGTGTGGAGAGATGGGCAGAGAAAGAGGGTTTATGTCTATCGGTTTTTGAGTAGTGGAACTATTGAAGAAAAGGTTGGTCTACTGATATTACAGCCTAACTAGTTACTTCTCTCGGTTCCCAATAAGTGTCACTCTGGAAGATATATTTTTGTTTACAATAAGCTTTTCTTAAATAAACCAAAAACATTTAGTGCTACTTTTACATTATTCCCTTATAGTGACCCCTTTTTTGTGCTTTAACATCTTTATATTCAATGATTATAAGAGTATCTGAGAGGGTCATTGTAAAAATATTTCATTTAAATTATTATTTAATAATTTCTTAATGTGCAAAGTTTACTCTCAAGTGACTCTTGTTGTGGCTTGTGAACTGAAGGATATGGTTATGATGAAATGTGACTTTGCTTCTTATGCCACAGATTTACCAGCGTCAAATTTCAAAAGAGGGCCTTCAGCAAGTTATTCAGCAGGAGCAAGCAGATTCTGAGATTCAGGTATTGTGGTTTGTTCTATGCACTTACTATTATGTTCTTTTATAAGAAAAATGTCATTATTATCCATCTTTACATTTTCAGGGAAACCTCCTTTCAACTGAAGATCTTAGGGACTTGTTCACTTTTCACGACAGTGTGAGGTTTGTCTATGTGCTTTTGTTTTGCTTGCAGTCTTGCAGATGCATAATACATTAGTGATATACATTGTATTATACAGAGAAACGATCAGACATATTTGAAGCCCATTTTGTCGGTTCTTGTTCTGGCTGATTAGCCTCAGCAGCCAATTATTTCAACAAACATGAATCAAATAATCAGTGCCACTGCGTTATGAACAGGAGGATTGTGAAAAAAGAATGTGTTTTTCTTTGAAAGGATTGGAATTGATTACTTTGATACTTTTACCTCTATCTTCGTCTACGTTTTTCCTTTATTTAAACATAAATTTTAAAATTTCCTAAATAGTTAAACCACAACTCTGGCAATTTATGCAATTTCATTTAGCCCCCCTTTTGCCCCTTTATATATCAAACAGGCTCTTCATGTAGAACATGAATCATGTTAGGCTTCACTAGGATACCTAGTTACCTATGTTTTCCCCCAAATCCACCCTGCCTCACTAATCCTGTTCTTACATCTTAAAACATGGCATAGTCTGAATTTAAATGTCTGTTGCTATTGTTATTTCTGTGATTAACAAAATTGCAGTGCAGGTCTGAAATTCATGAAAAGATAAGTTGCACCCGTTGCGAAGATAATGATGATGTGGTGATGATAGATAATACTCATGAAGCAAAGACCACAGATAAACCCATTCAGGAAGAGACCTCAGATAAACCCAACCAGGAAGAGGACATTGGGGGATTTGCAGGTGTTGCCAGTGTCTTGAACAAGTTAAAAAGTTCAGAAAAGCAGGTGGGTGGTCAAAGTCTTCTTAAAGCAAAAACCCCATCACATCTTCATGTTTCACTCATGTCCATGATTTTTTTGTTTGGCTTCTACAGATTGGAACTCCCAAGGAAGAGGATTTAGCTAGTTGGGGACATCATTTTTATCCAGTGTCAGTTCCTGATACCATTCTTCAGTCTGCAGCTGGTGATGAGGTTAGTTCAACTTTGCAATTCATAGAATGCGTTTGGAATTTGGAATGCACTAGGGGACACAATATTGGGGACTTTTAGAAGGAAAGAAATATGAGATAAAAGAAAAAAAAATTGCTACAAACAAAATACCCATTTGTGAATTGTGATGACGTATGAAACATGAAACACCACATTTAACGAAAATCCAAAAGACATAAATTGCTTCTTTAAAAGGGGCAGCCTGGTGCACAAAGGCATCCCCGCAAGGCAAGGGCTTGGGGAAGGGTCCCACTACAAAGGTGTACAAGGGGCAAACCGTCCCTTGTCAAATTTTTGACAAGACTGCTCCCAAAACTTGAACTCATGACCTCTCGGTCACTCTGCAACACCATGCCACGGCTCCACTTCACATAAACTGCTACTTTAATTGACATGAAATCCACATTGAAATTTAGTATGTTGCACCATATAATAGTGGTCAAAAGCACTTTCTCAATAAAACAACAACAAAATGTATTAAAAAATTGTTAAAAAGAGCTTTTCATAAGTCATCCCAGACGTAGGTAATTTTTTATGTTTGTTAGAATTCGTTTGATTTAAATAGCTGTACTCCATCGTGTCCCATTTATAAGTCATAGTAGAGTAGTTCTATATACTATCAAAGTTTGATTCTTTTTTTCACCACAATCATCTGTCTTGATAACTGAAACATATTTTCCATAAAAAAACTAAAGGACATAGAGGAAGCGGTCCAGCCCAGCTGGTCGCCGACTCACTCTCCTTTACGGGAGGTCTCGGGTTCGAAAGGATAGTGTGTATAAATGATTAAGAAATATAAATGTATGAAATTTTCGATAAACCTCACCAAATTTGATTTCCTTCTTATCCAAGGCAAAGACATTAAAAAACAGTTTCTTTGGCATTTTGTTTCTTTTTTCTTTGCATTTTTTGCTATCCATATATAGGCATAATAAGTGTCTCACTGGGCATTCTTTGCTAGCAGGTTACCTTTGTGTTCACATGTCAGATTGACGGGAAGCTTGTGCCTGTGGAATCCACAGCGAAGCCGAAGCCTGAAGTAGGGGGGCAGATAAACAACTGCAGTTTGAAAAGGAAGACAACGCTACAGCATAGACAAACAGTGGTTTCATCTCCACGTCAAGCACTATTACCTTTGAAACAAAGCTCATTCCAGAAACCAAAATTACAAGCATCGCCAGAAACGCATTCCATTGGGGCTTCTTTTTCTTCTTCTATGACTGGAAGCACATTGTCTGCTTCTTTGCATACTCAACTCACTGACTCTTCCAAACAACTATCAAAATCTATGGATCATAGAGAAAATGTCAAATCAAATAATGTAATCTCTCCCAAATTTCAGTTACCTAAAAAAAGAACGTCTCCTGTTGTTTTGAACGATGATGATTTTGTGTAGACTTCATCTGCAGTAGTGCAGTTTGGTCATAAATTATAAACACTGATGAATTGGTCATTTAAATCTCATAGCTTATATCAATGTGGAGATTGTTGTTGAAATTTGTAAGAATGCCTTTAAAAGGTATTCAACTAAGGTCAAACTGTTTGTTGTAGGTGTACAAATTTGAAAGTCTGAGGGATCCGGGATTATTGTTTAGTGTAGGTAGGGATGGATTGGGCCCGGGTGCCCCAACCTGGCCCGGGACCGGCGGGGGACTGTTACTGTTTAGGACCGACCAGATCTTGTTATGCCTGACCTGACCTGTTACTATTCAAGCCTGGCCCGGTGGTTATAAGAGGCGGGCTTTGGGTTTGATTTTTTGGGCCCAGCCGGTTGCACTAGGCATGGACTCGGTTCGGGCTGAGCCGGGCCTCGGTCCAGTTTCGACTGTTTTTTTTTTGGAGAAGTGAGGCTCGGAAACTGGCCCGGGTAGTTTCGAGCCCGGGTCGGGCTGGGCCGGTTCACCCGGTGGTTACTGGGCCGGGTTGAGCCGGTTCACCCTATCTTTTTTTTTTAATTTTCTAATTACTTCCTACCCCCACACCCCAAGCCCCTCCAAAACACCCAGCCCAACCCATTTCCCTTTAAAAAATGTGAAAACAAAAAAAATTGGCCCGAACCGGCCGGACCAGTTCGTGATTCTGGAGGCTCGGGAACCGCCCCTCTACAGTTCCGGGTCGGTGACCCGAACCGGGCATATAACCGGGTACCGGGCTGGTCCGGGCCGTAACAGTACCGGTTCAGACCGGTTAACCCGGCTCGAGTCCATCCCTAGTACCGACCTGATCTCGAAGCATACCTGGGCCTATCCCGGTCCCGGGGTCCACCAATAAATGTAGGCCAGCTTAGTTTAAACAAAATCAATCAACTAATCAAGTATAGTTAACATCAACTAAAATCACGCATACCTTTGGAACAATGAAAGAATAAATAGATGATAAAAACATTACTAATAGGTAAATTTTGACTTTGAAATTGACATTAGTGTTTCCTTTTTTAAATAATAACTCATGAATTCACTCCCTTGATAATATAACTGATATGTAATACGGAGTACATTAAGAATAAAAGTTGAGTAGGGACCAATTGTATGTATATAGATAGGCATAGGGATGGACTCGGGCCGGGTGGCCCGACCCGGAACCGGCCCGGGACCGGTACTGTTCCGGCCCGGCCCGACCCGGTGGCCCGGTCAGTGACCGGTCCGGGTAGGCCCGGTCCGTGAGTTTTCCGGTCCGGGCTCGGGTCACCCAAAACAAGGCTCGGCCCGGCCGGGCCCGGGCCCGGGCCCGGTTCGGGCCAAAAACTATTTTTTTTTCCCTTTTTTTTTTCATTTTTTTTTAAGTTTTCGGGTTGGGCTGGGTATTTTGGGCCATTTGGGGTGATTTGGGGGGTTGGGGGTGGGAGGGGGTTAATTAGGAAGAGGAAAACAAAAAAAAAATATAATGGGCCCGGCCCGGACCCGGTGGTTACCCGGGCCGGTCCCGGGTCCACCATTTCTGACCCGCCGGCCCGCCCGGGCCTAGGCCCGGCCCAGACCCGGCCCGGACCCGAGTCCATCCCTAGATAGGCATGGAGCCAGGTTTGGTCCAGGGCGCCAGCCAGTCCTAGTTCTAAAATATTAAAGATTTGAAGCCCAATACCACCCTGGTTTGGTCCGTAACTGGTCCAAGTCCAAACAGTACCAGTCCCGAGTGGTATCCACCCATTTAATAGTTTTCTTTAAAAACTAGCCGTTGGCCCAAACACAGCTAGGGGTGGAACTAGTGACGGACTAAACCGGGCCGGGCCGGAACCGACCCGGAACCGACCCGGAACCGACCCAGAACCGGCCCGGCCCGCTACTGTGCGGGCCCGGACCAGGATCAGTTGGCCAGTTCTGGGCTTTTAGCCCGTTTGGGCGGGTCGAGGCGTCGAGCAGACCGGCTCGGGCCCAACTTTTGGTGAACCGGCCCTGTTCATTTTTTTTTGTGTTTTCAATTTTTTTCTTTTCCTAGGGTAGAGCTGGGTGTTTGAGGGAGGTTTGGGGGGTGGGGGTGAGGGGGGGGGGGGTCAGGGGATAACAAGAAAGGCAAAAAAAAATTAAACATGAAACCGGACCCGGGCGGGCTTTTTTTGAAAATACTTGGGCCCGGAACCGGCCTGGGTTGATACCGGTTCCGGGCCCAAGTATTTTCAAAAAAAGCCCGCCCGGGTCCATCACTAGGTGGAACTGGACCGGTCCGAGTGGGGTCCGGGCCTGACTGGTCTCGAGCACGACCGGTCTGGATTCTAAATAATTGAAGCTGTCCCGATTCAAGCCCAAACCGGTACCCGACCATTTATCAAAAGAAAATCAAAAGCATAAGGCCCTGAGTCCCTGACTAGGCCCCAAAATTCAAGCCTGAAGCCTTTCCCGCTTCCCCCATTCAACCACCGTCCGAGTACCGAGCCGCTACCGATATCAAAAAACCTGGCCAGGCCAGTACCAAACAGTACTAGTCCCAAGTCTATCCCGAGTCGACCCGCCCACGCCCAATCCACCCCTAGGCCCGGCCCAGGCTGAGCCCAGCCAATCCCACAAATGCAAGCCCCAAGCGTAACCCTTTTCTACCACAATCCGAGTACTGGGTCAATCCCGAGTCAGGCAGCCCGAACCCAACCCATCCCTATATATAGACTGAGCTTCCAAAACTTAGAGGAAAATAACTTAATCATTATTGATAAGCGTAGTAACAACTAACAAGAACATAAAAATTAAAAGACGAGGCATTATGATCATAGTGTTCCATTCAACACTAAGGTGAAACAAATAACAAAAAGGCTCCATACAGGCACTCATGTGCGTACGTTATTAATGTTGAACCCTTGAAACTTGAAAGTATCTCAAGTCTTAACTATCTTTTAATGTCTCCTATTTTTCTTTTATTTCCGGGTTGTGAACAGGTGCCGTACAAGATAACTTTGAATATAACCTCGTGCTGAAACCATGCATTTTAGCACTTTTACAAAAGCTGACAATAGAAATCTACATATACAATTATACAAACAAGGTAATTGGGAACTCAAAGATTTGTTGGGAAACTAACACAACACAAGACACTACAACTGATCAAATGTCCAAATATTTACAATGCTCTGTTTGATAGAGCATAAAAAAGGAAAAAATAAAAAGAGCAAAAGAATAACCCTTACTTTTTATATACATTTCATATATACACATCAGCATGTAAAGTATAAACATTTCTTTTTACAGTAAAAGAATCAGCACTAAGTGTACACCTGCAACATATTAGCGAGCAAAATTAGTTTTCTTTTTAATGTTTGAACCCACTTCTGCATTAACAAGGAGATGTATAATCAGACTTATAATATACCTATGCTCAGAAGAATTAACGGCTTGCAAGGAGGAACCAAGCAAGACATGCCCAATGGGATGTGTGAGCGGTGGGCCCCATCACTGTTGCTTTCAATGTCCTTCCCAATTGAATTCACACTCCCTTGTTTCAGTAGATTTGTCATTGAATACCCAATAAATAAGCAATTTGAGAAAAAATTGCCACCATTTGAGAGTGCATCAGAAAGCAGGAACATATCAATCTCCTGATTACACAAACCAACTACATGAAATGTTGACTTGGAGACGTTCCCAGGTATTTATTCAAAGACTCTTTCTTTCGTCCAGGATCAAGACTGCATAATGTCATTTTACAATTACTATCATACAATTACCCACATGTCAGGAAGAACAAGTAATGCTTTTTGGAAATAAAAAAAGATACTTTTAAGCATAAGTCACATCATTATTTTCCTTTTAGATACTAATAATATTACTTGTAATAACAACAAATGTACTCCCGTAGAAGTGCAAAGCCAAGTTTCGAAGTGGCAAGCAGTTTTAGTCAAATCTCCAACAACCTTTGAAGCAAGTTTTAGGGGTATAAATAAAAGACAATTCAGAATTTGTAAAAGCTTGTACCTTACTCATATATGATACATATTAAATTTATGTGCAAATACATTAATGGATGTGTAGGAAGTACTCATGTTACCGTTTCAAAGGATTTACTCACCTGTTCCTAACCCCTAGAAGAGCACAGTGGAGAGCACGTGCAGTGGCTGAGGCTGGAGCAATAGCTGCAGCAGGAGCAGCCTTTACAGCGGTCACTAAAGCAGATCCCACTCCTGCTCCACGTTGGTATCTTTTCAACGGTGCTCTTACTAAGGCTGAGGCAGATTTACTGAATCCATCATTAATACTGTCATATGCCTGCCAAAGTCAAAAGGTAAAAGAGATGAGGGGAAGAAGCATCCACTTGGCAGTTTGAACATCAATCAAGAACAATACTTTTGAGCAACGTGGTTCCATAATGTAAGTATTTCCAATTAGTGCCCAACTGCCAATAACAGTTGGATCTTGTCAACTGTGATGAAACGTAACTTAATATGCAAGGTAAGAAAGCACATTTCTAATACAATTGGAATGTCCACCTGCTGGATTCCTTGCCGAGCATCGTCAGGCTGATTCGATCTCACACTGTCCCCCCTATTTTTTACTGACATTGGGATAGATGGTGGAATAGTTGTCAATATGTATTCTGCTTGCAGTAAAATTTCATGAGCTCCAGCTGCCAAATGTACTCCTAATCCAATTGCTTCAAGTGATATACTTCTAAGGAATGCAATTGTTCCTGTGAAAAAACACAGCATAGCAGGTATTTGTATTATGATCGTATACTTTTATTATTATAAGACAATATATGCATGAGAAATCTTCGAAATAAAAATGACTAAGTGTCTAATTTAAAAAATGTGTGCAGCATTAAAATTGGACATTTTGCCTTATGAAAATAAAAGCTCCACGGATATAATTAACTAGATACGCTCATAGAACAGAATGAGCTTTTTATCATGGAATGGAGTATAAGCATGATCAGTCACTTCCTCATCCCCAAATAAAGAGTCTGATTTGTCATACTAAAATTAGTATACCGAGCATGAATCAGTTTCATCACAGAGAGAGTATTAAATTATGATGTGTAGCAAGAAAATAGAAATCAACAGGGTAAACCGTTGCCCAGATAATCAACGATAAAAATACCGTTGCCCAAAGCCAAAAGGCTAAACTCTAACTTTATTCCAAGATAATCAGAATGAACCCTGGCGAGGGGTATAAATAGCCTTCTACAAGAAACCCTAATCAAGCCCAAATTAATTAAATCCTAATTAAGCCCATACTAACTCTACTAAGTACTCTACTAATAAAAGGCCCAAACCAAAAATAACATTAACTTAATAATAATAAATAAACTATAAAGACAGCCCTAACCCGGCCCACGGAAGTGGGCCCAAGCCCAGTCCCGCCCCATGCTCTTCCCCCTCTCTATGAATCCATCCTCCTTCAAAATAACCTTGTCCTCAAGGTTGAAATCTCACAGACAGGGAACTGAAATTTTCAGACATAGAATAGACGGGAAAATATCCTTCCTCTCTTTCCTGAACCCCCTGGCCGGTTATTTCACAGTACTCATGCTGTTGGAGGTCCAACTCTTCATCCTCCTCAGCTACCATTACCCGCAGCTGCTTAAAGGGACAGTCATGCCCCGGTGTAAATGGTTTCTTACACCTAAAGCATAATCCTTTCGCCCTCAATTCTGCAAACTCCTTTTGCGGAAGACGAGTTAACTGAGAGCGTGTCGTAGGCTGCCCGGACAGCCCTGACTTTGTCCCTGGGGGTTGCCCCATGTCTTTAGGAAAGCTGCCGTTTGATTCTCTTAAGCTGTCACCATTTATGGTTGTGCCGTTACTATCATTTGGGCGCGAAAAACTGTCTGAATGCAAGTCCGTGTTGTAGGGTTGACTTTCCCAGTCTCCATCTTGAAAGGACAAGTTGTCCTCAATATCTCTGGCCAACTCCATCGCAATCTCCAGGTTGTTTGGCCGCAACAATCGTAAGGATCCCCGAATCAGTCCCTTCAGCCCGTTCATGAAATACCCCAAATAATGATCATCGGACAGCCCAGGAACCTGACTAGCCAACTGCACAAAAAGGTTATTATATTCTTCTATGGTTCCCACTTCCCAACTGTTTGGCCCCGGACAGCCGTTCAAATCGGTTGCCCTTGAACCGTGAATCAAAACGGGCCACCTGAATTCCTCCTAAGTCAGGCCCGGTTTCCGTGCCCTCAACCAGGTCAACCAGTACAGGGCAGCCCCTTCCATGGCTAACGTAGCTGCTGCCACTTTGCTTCCAGGTAGGGTTTGATGAATTTCAAACCGTTGCTCAGCTCTGGCCACCCATCCGATGGGATCTTCGCCGTCAAACGAGGGAAGCAGGGCCTTAGCAGTGCTACGCAACTCCCCGTCGACTGAATGCGCAGGTGCGACGTGCGCGGCAGAGCCGCTGTTGCTGGCCGATGTCAGCATCTTCTCCAGCGGTGTTGGCGTCTTCTCCGGCGGTGTGATGACTTTCGCGATCGCAGTGAGAGAAGCCGCGATCTCTGCGAGTTGGGCGCCATGCTCCTCTAATTTCCGCCCTTGCTCCTCCAATTTCTGCCCTTGCGCGTCGAGTTTCTGATTGATTAGGGTTTGCTCAGCCTCCAGCTCTGTCAAACGATCATTCTGAGATCTCGTCATTTCGGCGGGACGGGATTCGGCAGATTGAACCAATTGATGTGTAGCAAGAAAATAGAAATCAACGGGGTAAACCGTTGCCCAGATAATCAACGATAAAAATACCGTTGCCCAAAGCCAAAAGGCTAAACTCTAACTTTATTCCAAGATAATCAGAATGAACCCTGGCGAGGGGTATAAATAGCCTTCTACAAGAAACCCTAATCAAGCCCAAATTAATTAAATCCTAATTAAGCCCATACTAACTCTACTAAGTACTCTACTAATAAAAGGCCCAAACCAAAAATAACATTAACTTAATAATAATAATAAATAAACTATAAAGACAGCCCTAACCCGGCCCACGGAAGTGAACCCAAGCCCAGTCCCGCCCCATGCTCTTCCCGCTCTCTATCAAACTACCTCTTTGCATCCCTTTCAGCAATTTTTGATCCTTTTTGTAGCTTTTCACCGGAAGAGACACCAATTTGGCAGCACCAGAACCAACAGCAACCAATGATCGAATAGGAGGGAGCCCTTTCAGTAGTTTATGAATCTACAGTACAAAGAATCTTGTCAAATTGAACCCTCACCATGAGTCAGACCAACATGGAAGCCAAATGTTACCCAGAGGAAATATATCTATTAATTAACCTGATTCTGGGAGATATCTTCCAACCACTCCCCTATTATCATTTCACACACACAATCCCAGCCAAAGACACCAGTACCCAGTACATGTTTGAGGTTCATCTCAACACCCTGACATTAGAATAGGTGAGACTGTGAGAGACCATCAAATACTAGTTTCATACATGCATAGGAAATATCACCATATTTTATTATACCTCAAGTAAGACAATTGTCAAACAAAGTAGCGAGTTGATTTTGTGTTTCTCTTGTCAATATAGATGACCAAGTTTATTATATTGATATAATAGAATTAAAGCAATCATATAATACCAATGTTGTATCAAAGATGTTGACATTATCATATCAGTGTCCTTCCCCTTATTTTCTTCAGCTAATAATTTAAGATCTCTCCATAGAAAGGACAAGATATATATATATATATTCCGGATCAAATAAGAACATCTCTTATCGTGAGAACATGAGAGCACCACATTTACCCCAATGTGATGCACAATGAAACTCATATGTTGCACTTTTTCGTCTTCACATAATATTTACCAAAATGCCACTGCATTTATTTATTTTGACTTGATTTGAGCAAAGATAAAAATGTGCAATAGAAGAGCTCTATTGTGCACCACATTGATTTAAATGCGAGTGTTCTCACGTTCTCGCATTAAGCTTTTTTGGAGGAACAAACTCAATAAGACATGAAGCATTTTTAGCAATCAAAGAAGAAAAGAGAAAACAAATACCTTCCAAGGCACAAGATTGACAAGCTCCACATATTTTCCACCTCTTAGCGCAGCCAAATCAACACGGCAAGGGCTATAGTCAACCCGGACAAGTATAGGCCATATGTCAAATTTCTGCACCCATAGTCCAGTAGTGCATAATATTAGCACAAGCAACTAATAGCTAACATTGTATACGCTTTTCAACCAACATCCATGTCAAGAATTAGACTAACTTCTAGTATAATATGAAATCCAAAGCAACAAAACATTTAATCTTTCATACCCAAACATTTGCACACAAAAGGTTGAGAGTTTTCTCTTTGTAAGCATATGTTTATAGGACACAAACATTGTATCGACACTACCTAATTTCTTAATTATTGACAACAAATTTCATGCCACCCCAACTAGATTCAGGTGCTGATAATTATCAAATTATGCAAAATACAAATCCTAACCATTCACCTGAAAATATGGAAGTAATGCCTCCATGGAAACTGCATGGCCACCCATCAAAATTTTCTGCTTTGAAATTGCTCTCGGTTCATATAGATTTTGTGAAGCAACATGTGATGAGTTACTTACTGAGTTTGTTCCTCCAAAAAAGCTGATGAGAAAATCAAGCTGGATTTGGTGAAGATGCAACCGTATTGGGAGGAGAGCAATACGCAATCTAAAGAAAAACAACACAACCTGTCACTTTACTGATTGAATATATTTATAAGTGATAACTAGAATTTTTCTTGACTTTCTAACCGGTATTCCTCCAAAAGGGTGGCAGGTTCAGGTCTGACAGCTTCGAGAACAAGCTTAAATGCTTTAGACGAGGACTTTCTTGGGCAATATTTTGATTGATAATACCCCAGTACCTAGAACATCAAACAGAAGGGTTCTGATCCAGTCCAATGTAGGGTATATGAGTTATACATAATCCAAGTTAAAAACCTTTCAAACTGACCAGTTTCCATGGGGCATCATTGCTGCAGTCACTGAGAAAAAAATCCTGAACTGTGATGGACAGTCTAGAAGCATGTACTCCACCATCAGGATAAATGTCATACTCAAAGCCCACTCCAGACAATAGGAGCTCTAAACATGAAGTTGTATCTCGCCCCCCACATGTACCAGCAGAACATTGGCCTGTTTTTTCTAAACTTTGCCAGTCGGAACCACCATATAATTTCCAGACGACGTTCATGTTATTAAAAACTATACGGCCCTTGATTTTTCCACTGTCATCCACTTCATTTTGACTGCTAGAAGCCTCACACTCGTGTCGCAGGAAACCAGCCTGTCTACTAGATTCTGAAATGTGATTCTCTAAGATTCTTAATGAGCTCTCCTCATACCACCCACTACTTTCTCTTTGACACCCCTCACTCATAGGAGAACTAGTTTTGCACTTGACAGTATCATTAGGTGACTTCCCTTCCAATGGAGGCTCTGAGAGACAGCAAAAATCAGGCAATAAATAATCTTCGATGATTTCAGGCAAATTTTCTTCTGAAAGCAAACTCTCAATATTTTGTAGCCCAGGTGCAGGAGATGACTCAGAAATAGGAACTTTCTCAAAGAAATGTTGACCTTCACTGTAACTATAGTAACATGTCTCACCAATACAACTACCATTTAACGATGAGACATGGATCGGTGATTCATTAGAATCAGCTAGTGCACTATCGGTTCTTTCCACCAGAAATGCATCTTCGCATATTTCATCCATGAGATTTATTATACTGGCTTTACACTCCACATCTGCAATTGATGTCAGCACTGAAGAAGTTGATGCATCTCTATTTACGTGTTGAGCATTCTCCCATCTTGTCTGCAGGTGCACTGCTGATTCTTCAATATCAGGTGCAAATATCTGTTGTAGTTGGGTGACCAAATGAATCAAACCAGAAACAGTGTCATGGCAAGTATTCAGAACAATATGAGACTCTGAGCATTCGACTTGCCACGGATACCCATTCTCAGAGTCAATTCTCAAAAGTGCTTCAATGTTTGACACTTGAGCAATTTTGACATAACCTATCTTGTGAAGATGCTCCACACTATAAATATGGAATGCTCTCCCAGGTTCACGAACAACAGAAAGAAGCAAGCCCAAGTCTCGCATGGTAATTCTGTAATCCCTGATATTTGACTCAGCAAAACTGGTGTTGGATAGCCTCAAGGAAGATGCAGCCAATAGGCAAGCAATGTGCTGCTCATCTATCACTTCATTTATGTTACTCAAATGTATGTTGGTATGAGAGCCTCTATTAAGCCCCAAATAAGGCTCATAACTCAAACCAATGTCTACCAAGTTAAGAACAAAAGAGCATTCAAAAGGCAGACTTTCTTTACACTCTTTTTTCTGTGAAATGTCATCAAATTCTTTAGCTTCAGGAGAGGACAAGCTGAAAAAAGATGTAATGGTATCCAACCAATCCAACCGTCCACCAACTGCTACAACAGTACCACCCCTAACAGTAATGGATATGTGATTGCTCCTGCCTTGAGGATCGAAAAGGTGTATTATGTCAGAACCTGAACTTTTGATAGATAATGTGTTTGAGCCATCTCCATCACCACGTCCCATTGAAGCACTGTTGCATGATATCAGAAGAATTTCTTCCCTTGTAATTCCAGAAACACCCCCCCACAAATTTCCATCACAGTGGGTGATGCGGAGAAAACTAGTCTTACTGATTCCTCCAATGTCAGAACCAGAAAAAAGTTTAAACTTATGAACCTCAAGTCTCATATTATGCCAAGGACCTTCAAGTTCATACTGGAACAGTCCCTTCATGCTCTCCCCTACTTCTGCACTTCTGATTGAAATAGATAACGATTCGCATTCAATAAGAGTTGATGCTTGTGCTGCAAAAGATTTTTCTTCAGAATCGACTGGAACAGAGACCATTTGTGATACATAATTTATCAACTGACTCAGAAGACCATGCATGCAATCGTACTGAAATTTGCTTAAATTCGCAGTGAGAAGAGATATTTGAGCATGAATGGAAAACTCTGAACTTTCCATCATCTTCTTTTGAATACCATCAAAGTCTTCTGAACCCTTTACTGTATTAAAAGATGCAAATTCAAAGTCTTTCCCCCTAAACCTATCTCCACACCCATTAATATCTGAAGAAGCAAGGAGTTTCACCTTCTTCACTGTATCAGCTGAAGCAACAACAGGACAATCTTGCCAGAAAAAGCTAATAACAGAAGTTTGTGTTCCACAAGAAATGGACATAATGTTCTGAGCTGAAAATTTCCATTTGAGTTTGATCCCAGAGCTGCTATAAACATTCTCTTTAGATGCTAAGGTAATTAAGTACATCTTGAGATCCCTGAAATTCAAATGTAAGGATTTTGATGCTTTTAAAGCATATTTGTTCTTAGAACAAGCAATTGAAGTTGGGTTCACAGGATCTTTTTTCTTTCCTGGGGATGAAGACAGGTCAAGAGCAATAAACTGCTCCCAGGAAGAGTAGCTCCTTGAACCTTCACCGTTTCCAAATGGGAAACACATTATAATCCTAGCTTTTGGAAGAAATACATTGCCTGTTAAATTTTGTTGCGCTGAAGGGATCTTCATTTCATAAGGAGCCTTTAGACTAGTCCTCTCAAAACAATGCCCAATTTGCTTCAGAAATTCAGATATTGCACTTACCAAATTCACGTTCAACCAAAAAATGAAGTATGGTAGCTTCAATGAGAAGGACGATGGCCCAGTGAACAAATTACCGGACGAACCAATTGTGATTTGGAACTGACTATGACCAATTGTTTGAAGTAATTCAACCTGAACCACATCATCTGGGGCACTAAATGTTTTAGGGAGTGTGCTCCTATAGTTAGGAAGCATAGAAATAACTCCAGGATCACCAGATACTTTTTTTAATTCATAATCTCCACTGGACCCAGAAAAATCTGGAATGGCACTTTGAACTGCATCTTGAATTTCCTCTATACACTTGCTGCTTTTCAACATAAGATCCCCATTAGAGAAGCAATCAGCCAGCCCAAAATGCTGGACTTTGGCTTCAAAACTCATTTCTTGATGTCGCGCCTGTTAATTTCAACATGAACATTTAGCAGCATATCGAAAAAAAGGGAATTCCAAAAACAGAGTTGTACAGTTACCTGCAGGACAAGAAAGAGGTCATCAAAATGTGCACTCATATAATGATCAAAAGAGCCAGCAGTAATTCCACCAGTCTTCACAGTGGAGCATTGAATGTCTTCCTCGTCGGTGAAGAACAGGATTATAGATAATTTGGCAATAGTTGCCCTGACGTTGGTTTCAATATGCAGCTGCTGATCTGACCAAGGAAAGACATAGTCTTAAGGTGATTTTTCATAGTAAAAGGGACTTGAGTATTAAATAGAACTAACTTGTTCTCTCTACTTTAGAACTCAATATAAACCTTCCAATCCCTTGCTACAAAAGGAATGTATAAGATCACGAAACACAAAGTCAAATTTAAATTTAGGTAATATATTCAGAGTGATCGAGCATGGTTTAGATTTATGAATAAATTTGAAGATAAGATATTGTAGTTTAAGGAACCCTAGGTCTTCATTCGACTGAGAAATATTCAATTCTTACACCCCCTAGACCTAACACAAAATTTGAACTATGCCATGATATGCAATTCAAATTTCCAATGCAGCCAATTACAAGACTGGCTACTTAAAATAGAGCCCGGATGTCTCTATGTATCCTGGCTGTTTGGAAGAGAATTTCTGCTTCTTATAACTATGCATCTACCTTGTGGAACTAACTTCTTCATGACCTGATTAAACATGAAATAAAGCAGCAAACTTCAATAAGTAAGTAAAGTCAATTGTTTTGTAGTTAGATACATAAATTTCATAAACAAAGCAAATTTAGGAAAACTGAAAACCGAGCAAGGGTACTTTATCTTGCACAAGAGCATGACTAGTTGACAACTTAAGAAGTTATCCATCAAATGGTAATGTCTGATGAGTGAGAGAGATAACATTCAAAAATATGCATAGTTTTAAGTTTTAACTAGTAAAGACTAAAGAGATACCAGAAGGAATATATAATGATCCAGAAGCAAGATTGGATGCAGCGGTTATTGCACTAAAAACCGAACATGTCCAATTCCACATCCCACTACTTCCCAGAGCTGACTGTGAATTTCTCATACCATCAAAACATTCAAAAAACTGGTCCACACTGCAAAATGGAGTTCACCAGGGAAAAGGGGGGAAATATCAGCAAGAGCATTGCCACTGGATGGTCCAAACCACTATTTTTTGATACATTATATGAAAAAACTGTAAGCATCCTTGATATACAAAACATATTTGAAAAAGAAAAGAAATTGAACATATAAAAAGTTCATCAAGGGAAAGAAGGACTATAAGTGTTATTGATGAATGCAGCAAATAAATATAAGGCATATACCAAAGGCACTCCCAGCAACATGAAACTCTGCCAGCAGCCACTATGCTTCAAATAATCTGATCTAAAACACTAGATACCTCCACCCTAAAAGCCTAAGAGGCAGGCTGTACTAAAAAGGGGAGCCCGTGCACATTGGCGTGCCCGCAAGGCAAGGACCTGGGGAAGGGTCCCACCACAAGGGTGTATAAGGATTAAGGAGCAAGCCTTCCCTTGTCATTTTGACAAGAGGCCACTCCCAAGACTTGAACTGACCTCTCAGTCACACAGCAACCTTCAAGAGGCAGGCTGTACTATTCAAGAAAAACTCTGACAACAGCCACTATGTCAATCCTAAAGAAGGTAGGATATGCAAGGGAAAAATTGAGTTGGAGAAGACATTAACAGGTGATCCTAAATACAAGAAATCTAGATATTTTCTTTTCTGCAGCCTTTGGTTTTAATCTGCATGTTCACTTGTTCTATATTAAGTTCTCAATGATAACGTTGCCAAGAGCTGCCATGACAGAACCATGGGGGATGCCTCTGGCGGAAGTAGAGCAGGCCATCACATAACTTTGTGAAGAATGGCTGGTTATGGCAGCACCATATGGCATTTTTTTTCATATGTAATCCTCCATTAGAAACATTGCTCAATGCACTAAATAACAATGGGTGTATATGACATCATACATTTAGTAGAAACTGCTTCAATTTAAATAAAAGAACTGTGTAAAGAGATTCAAACCTTGTTCCAAAATCAGGCTCTTCCAACTTGTCTGTATGGCTCCTCAGCCAATCTGGAATAAGATGTGACTCAGAGAGTAGGGCTTCAGCCACTGGCTCTTCATCAGTTAGAGGGAGATATTCAGTAGAATCTTTTTTCCCTCCAGGAAAAAACCCTTCACTGAGCCTACAAGAATCCATACTTGATAAACTAAAATTCAGCTGTTCGTTACATTGGTCGGATTCATTTCCCTTGATAATGCTGCTGCTTTTGTCTTCCATGTCTCTGAACATATCCCACAAGTACAAAAAACTTCTAATGCTGGTAGGCTGAAATTTCAATTGCAAGGGATCAATAGAAGCATCTGCCTCCACTTTGTGCATATCAAGAGATCCACTGTTCCAAGGTATACATAAATTCAGGTGCCCAGAAAAACCACTTCTGTCACCAGTGATTACTGGGATTGTCCCATTTTGGTAAGAGTGGTTAGAATGTTGACCAACAGTTGTTCCTGATGAATAAGGAAATGGTGTCTTCTCATTAATACTATTTATGTGAACGAATTCAAGTACACCTCCTTGAAACTTTACATGGTTGGTCATTCGACTTAATCCAAGTAAGTTGCCAGAGACCACCTCACAATCTGAAGAAGCACTCTCAGATATACATGTCCCACATTCTATTTCAGTCAATCTTAGAACCAATGTACTTGTAATATTTTTGTCCTTGTCTGGGGTAAAACAAGGATCAAAAGCTACAATTAGTTTTCTAATTTTAAAATGAAAATCTGTGAGCAGCCATTTAACCATGTTGGCAACAGTTTTGACTCCTTCGTGAACATCCAAGGAAACACTTGCTCTAGCAGTATCAATAGTATCACGTTCAAGATTAGGCGAGTCGTGGCTGACATTGTAGGTGCGGTCCTGAAATTCTAGACCAGAAGTACAAGCTTGGGGTCCATTTTCAGGGATATTGCACGATCGTGGAGCAAAAACTAGCTCAAGTTCATCAACCTCGACGCAACATCCATCTCCTTTCCAGGGCATTTTAACCAGCAAAGAGCCAATAGAACCTTCTTTCATCACTACAGTTGTTGCGGAACCAAACTGGAAAATAGAAGGGTACAATGGTCTGTAAAGTAAGAACGTGAGGTGCACTTTTCGACCTTTTCTATATGGAAAGGTGAACTCTGCAGTGGGCTATGAAGAAATGTGGTAAAGAAACAATGCTACATTTAACTGAGTGAGAACTATGTTTATCTTGGTTAAATCAAGGTTCAGTTGTACGGAAGAATATTGTGTATCAGCAAGATCTAGCAATAAGCCCAATGACAAGACAAATACAAAGTAGACATTGATCGACTCTAGGGTTAAGATGATTCTTCAACAGCCATAACTCCCATAAGTAAGGGGAGAATAAAAATAAAATATTTTCACACTACACTACATATACCACTGTTTTAAGTCTAAACAGCCCAGAGGAACGAGCTTTTGCATAGTTCCATAGGTTTTTTGATAGCTCATTTCACCATATAAAGGGCAGCCCGGTGCATAACAGCGTCCCTGAAAGGCGAGGGTCAAGGGAAGAGTCCCACCACAAGGGTATCATTTTGAAAACAGGCCACTCCCAAGACTTGAACATTTGACCTCTCACCTTAACCCATTAAGGGGTGCACCAAGGCTCCCATCAGCTCATTACACCATAGATGATAAAAGAACAACTATATCCTATCAATCCAACGAGTCAAAGTAAGATTGTTTGTCTTTTCAATGACCAACGGGATTTAGGAGAGGATCAGTGGACACAAACAATCTAAACTTTAAAGATTACCTTAGATAGAAGGACTGGCCTATAGCTTATCAACCGTGACTAATGGTCTGTATATGATGCTTTCTTCGTACTACAGACTTTTAAAAAATAAAACTGAAAAAGGAAATGATAAGAATGCGCAAGGCACCTTTTGATTGAGATAATCGACGTTGAGTGCGAGATCAGAGAGCTGAATGGTGCCGGCGCTGAGCTGGACATCGAGCTGGTTGAGATCGATGTCTCCAAGTATGAATTTCCCCAGTTTCTTCTTCAACAAGAACTTGCACACTCTCTTCATCGCCCAGCGCGAAAACATGGCTTCCGCCGACCGGGCGATGTTCCAGGGAAACATCTTTCAAAATCGAATTCAGCCAAAGTCGATTGACGCGTGTATCTCTCTGCAGAGCATCGAGGGCGATAGAGAACGCCGAGCTGCTTCTGATGGAGGCTAGTTCACACCTCCACCAAGCGAACAGGCCAGGGAGAAGGACAGAGAATTGGAGGGTTTTAGAGAGAGAATGTTAAGGAGGGACAACTTTCTATAATTTTGGACTTATTTTCGGTTCCGTTCTATAGTGTTTGATTGGTTTGGTTTCACTTCTTTTTGAGATTTAATTTACTTCCAAAATAAAGTGTCACACGGATTAAGAAAGTAGGAATTGTCTGGTGGAAAGTTATGCAGAGGAAAGAGAAATGCTGTGAATAACAAATTCTTTGTCAAAAAAGGGGAAAGTTCTTTTTGGGACGGACGAAAAGGGAAACTTGAAAGTATTTTCAGGGACGGAGGGAGTAACTTTTTATACATACATAAGAGTATGATGGAAGTAGTAAGCTCAATATAAATATAAATGAATATTTATAGAATTTGAAAACAAAATGTCTTACAAATTTTGGAACACATCCTTAAATACAATGTTCGTTGTTACATAGGTACTTTTTCCATCTGCATCACACATAGCTATTTTCAAACCCGCAAGATTAGTGACACGTGAAAGCGCAACATATAACCGACCATGACTGAAAACAGATTTTTTCAAGATTAATTCAACATTGGACAACGATTATCCTTGACTCTTATTTATCGTCATAACATATTGTTGGGTGTGTCTCGGAAAAACGAAGAAATATTAATTAATAAAAATTAATTAATAAATTAAATAGCCAAAGAAAAACAGAAAAAGAGATGGGACAGAGTTTAGCCAGAGCTTGTGCTACGCACGATGTCCTTAAAACGTATTCGGAGCGTTGCAACGACCGTTTCCCAGGATACGGTGGCTAACGAACTAACGTTTGAGCACACAAACGAGAGTTCCGGTGAACTGGAACACATTATGAACACTTAGGAATTTTCTGAGTAGCTGGAAGTATTTTAGAGCTCAAAAAATACGTGAGGAATGTATTGTGAGTTGTGTCTTGTTGCAAAGTACCTGCCAGTTGTTTATAGGAGGATTTGTTGTGTGTTAAATGGGGTGTTAATGGACCTGAACGTTGGACATCAATGACCAGTCCGTTTGGCATTGAATCGTCCATAAACTGTCCATTTAACGCTGCATTAAAAGACAAGATCGTTGGGCATTTAATGGCTGTAACGGCTTGGAGCAGTTCTGATGCGCGACCAGAATACCCCCATCAGAGTTGGAGCAACTCTGATGCTACCAGAATACCTCCACCAGAGTTGGAGCAACTCTGATGCGAAGCCAGCATAGCACCCCCACCAGAGTTGGAGCATCTCTGGTACGAAGCCACCAAAGTTCGAGCACCTCTGGTCCTGGGAAAAATAAAACGTTACGGGAAGAAACAAAAATTAGACCGTATCTTTGAATGATAGATTTTCGGACGACGTTCGTGTCCGCAGGTCACCCGCGCGCACGAGTTGCGGTTTTTCTTCTCCGTTTCGGGATTTGATCGGCACCCCCCTGCGCATAAGAGAGAGTCTTTACCTTCAGGAATCTTAACTCCTTAAAAGAGGCTTCCTTTTGTAAGGGGCTGAAAATGGAATGTTGTAGACATTAATCACCACAACTATAATAGTCTCAAAATTACCTCTCGAGACTCGTACAGTTCTATTATTTTAAGTGGTTGCTTCAAACTCTCAAGATCCTCAGAAATGCTCATTTGTTTGACTGTAGTTTCTGAAATAATGTGTATCGGCTGAGTGAGTATATTCACTTCCTGCAAGGTGTTTAAACACCCAACATGCTATAGTTATATCATTATATTTAACCATAAAGGAAATCTGGATAAATTTTCAAACTTGTTCTTGAACTCTTCAAATTCAACATCATCTCCATTGATGACAACACGCGTGACATTGTAGTTGGTTGATATTTTTGGTTCTCCTTCATATGCACATAGACGACCATTAATCCAATTTTCATTTTAACTAACCATTGTTTAGCTAAGTATTAAATGTTAAAATGTTGAAAACCGTGCGCCAGATGGCATGTGTGTACTGAGAATAGGTTAAAGATGTTCATCTGTATGCTAAGGCCATCTATTTTTTAGAAACGTTTTTCCCGCCCAACACTCCTTGTCCTCCCTCCTTGGGACTTTATCACATAGAATGTTTGTATTTAACATATTATTCTTTTAGAAAATATAAACATTAAAGTTATGCGAAATGTATTTAACATAATATTCTTCTCATTTTCATTTTTGGGATGTCCCAAAAAATTCTTCTCATTTACCTTTTTGAAAAGTTTTGTGTTGTTAATATTTATTTACATTTTTCCAACTCAGTCACAACCATATATATTTCCACTTTATTTTCACCTTTTTAAACTTTGATCTAACTCAGACTGAGAAGAATTTGACGGGAAATAGGGAGTAAATGTTTACCAATTTCAAAAAAAAATCATGATATATCTACACACACAAACATATATATCAAGAACTTTGAGATCATTAGCGAAAACTATTTCCTTTAAATTTGATAGATAATCTTACCCCTTCCGGAGCGTCAAAATCATTCTTGACATTAAATCTTTTCACCCGCTCTTATTTCTATCCCATTCTCATCTCTCTACAAGGAATTCAATCTTGCTAAATTGATGGCTAGTATAGACTGTATAGTAGAAACATTACCTCAAATTGATTTAAAATACTAACGGGTCTGTCAATTTGAGGCCTGTCAATATAGGCCTGTCTAGACCCGGACCCGACCCGACACGGTTGTTTTTAATGGGTACGGGTCTATATTTTATTCCGTTTACCCGGACTCGGATCCGGACCCGTTAGTATTTTAAATAAACGGGTCAGGTATGATACATATGATTCCGACCCGTTAAGGACCCTAACCCATTTAAAATTTCTTATTTGTATACATAGACACTAATACATAAAATGATTAGTTATAACACTTTAAATAAAATAGAAACTAATATACATATATACATAATAACACGCAAAGTTATTAGTTGTGATTCTTTAATAAAAATATATGGTGACAAGTTTTCACTATATTTTTAGTTGTACTCATGCTTCTACTTTTTCTACATGTGCCTCGATTTAAAGATTTTAATTGTGTTTATTTTTTATTTAACTTGTAGGTACTCTACGTTCAAAACCCATCATTCAATCAACATGATGATGTTAGAGCACGACATCATTTTCAGGAAAACTCCGGACACTTTATAGTAATTGAATTGGATGTTATTTGTATGTCTTCAAATTATATAGAATTTTGGATTAGTATTGTTGGTAGAATATGATAGTATTATGTGGGAATATTGTACTTTTTGTAAGACTCATTTATTTATAGTATGTAATTAATGTGATTGTCTCAAATGATTTCGTTCTTGTTGATATTGATTAGTTTTATTAAAAAATATGGATGCAAAGTGTACTCGTGAAACATAAAAAAACATTTTGGTTTAACAAAGCAGCATACAGATTCACAGAAAGGGTGGGCCTTTGTAAATTGCAAATATGTTTTCAATAACGGTTAACTTCTACCACATATTGAATATTTTATTACATTCTATAACGGTTCAAGTAGTAACCGACATTGAAGACATTCCGTAACGGTTCCTCAACCCCATATAAAAAATGTCCCGCTTTTAATGTCGGCTGGATCTATGTCGGGTTTAGAATCGACATTAAAAGTCGATTTTAACTGACAAAAAAAATGTTTTTTCTACTAGTGACTTTTTCATCATGTGTGAGGACTGACTATGACATTTGAGTGCTTTTTCATCATTTTAACCAACTCTTGCTTTTTTTATTTTTGGGTGTGCACATGAACACCCCTGATAAGAATACATCCGCCACCGCCAAGCACGGTACAATCTAATAAGCTTATTAGATTGTTTTTGTTGGAATGGTTCAACCTGTTTTTTCTTCTTTTGTTTTGGATATGTGCAGCTCATTGGAAGGGAAGAGGGTATTTTGGGAAAGTCAACAACACTTCCAATTTTGTATAAACATATGCGAGGATCAAATCAGAAACTTCTTTACGAGACAAAGGAGTAAATGATAGGAAAAATTGAGGAAATTTTTGTTTGTTTTTCTTTTAAATTTTGAGTTGTGTTTGTTAGATTAGTGTGTTTTCTATCTAAATTTTATTCGAACTCACTAGCTTTTAGTTTTGTAACTAGATAGCTTATTATTAATATAATGACTTCTAAAATTTTAAGTTTTTTATGCATATATACAGTAGAAATGGTAATATATTTTATTTGGGAATTAAAACTTTTTTGTGTAACTTTTTTTTGCTAGTTTGGGACTATCCGCACCGCTTCGAATCGTCCAAACTCGATTTAAATGATATTACGTATAAGATTCGTATCGGTACATTTCATTTTTCAAATCTGAAAATGATAGTTTATCTATCTTTAAGATCCCGAATCAATAGAATTTCAATAAGATTAGAACAAAAGCTTGTCTTGTATTCCATGAATCTATTGTTAATTACTATCTTTGTCTCTTAAAACTTTACCAAGTTTGACTGACATGAAAAATAATAAAGTAAAAACTGTGTGGTTGTGATTTGTGTAGAGGAGAGACAATCAAAAGGAACCATACAATAATTGATTAAAAAAAGTTTTTTGGGATATCCCAAAACGGAAGTATGACTAAGTTTTAAGGGACAGAGGAAGAATTACTAATCAGAGATCGATCAAAGTAATTGTAATCCTCGACCGTCCGTAACCTGTCCACCCTATATTAGGGTTTTAAACGAATCGAACCGAGTCGAATAGTGAGAGTTTATATTTGTATTTGTTTAATTTTTTTCGAATGCAAATCTGAATTCGAATATGAAACAAATATCAATTTCGATTTGTATTTGTTAAACAATACGAATATTTAACGAATCGTATACGAATATCGACTCATAAGTTATATATTAATCAAATATCATTTTATAAAATAACTTTTCTTATGTTTTTTATGTTACAAATACATGCTATGACTTAATATGTGTTTTTATAATTTAATTTGTAACATTACATTTTTCTTTAAAATTTAATGGATCAATGCATTTTTAGGTTGTGCACAATATATACTAAAGTGAATCAATTTTAA